GATCCAAAACAGGCTCACTTGAACCCCATAGCACATCTGTAACATGCTAGCAAGAGTCACTCTGCCTTTCTTCCCACCCCAGAAACTGTCACACAGCTCCAAAATCTGCAGTTGTGATCTAAGAGACGTGTAGGAAATGGATGGTTCTGAGCACCAGCACAAACCACCTCAGCAGGCAGTGGTTCAACTCAGCACTTAAAAGACGCACAACTGCTATACCCTCTTTTCCAGAAAATTCAGCTTTCTCCTCTTAAGTATCAAAATCCACTGTTTTAATCTAGTACTAGCAGGTCAGAAATAATACATCAACATCAATGAAAATTAATATAAATTAGAGATTCAGCACCCAGAAAGCACTAATGCTGTCCAGTGCAATTTTTAGCCAGTTACACAGTGACCAAAGCCAGAGAAATACCATCACCTTCAGAAATAGAAATCACATACACAAAGACATTACATCTCAGAGCCTAAAAAACTATCAGTTCTAACTATCAAATTCTTGCACTTCTCCTAACAAAAATCCTCACATATCACTGTAATAATATAGTTTGAACAAAAGCTTAGTTTACAACAAAGCTTTAGAACTCAGATTACCAGGTGATAAAAAAATGTTTTCCCCCTTGTAACATTACGGGTCCATGCCTATGCTGCTGCCACTGCACCATTACCTGTAGCTCATGGTGATTTTCTGAACTCAGGGAATGTAAAATACAGAATTCTCACATGAGCATGCAAAGTCACACTCTGCATTAGCCACAGAGGCTCTCTACCAAAAGCCAGAATTAAAACCAGTTTGTGTCCCAGCATATATCCTCACCTATGTCAAAACATGAAAATGAAATGACAAAGGACCTAATCTCACTTTCACAGAAGTCAGTAGCAAAGCTCCTGCTGACTTCAATAAGAGCAAAAGCCAGCACTAGATCTCCAACAATCATTATTATTTCCTTCAGAGCGCCAAATGCATTTCCTATCAGTCCCCTGAAGAAGGATGATGGTCTCTCAGCTTTCCAATAATATTGCCTCATATAGAAAAGCATCTCAGACTGCCAGTGCTAATCTAATGTCTATGACCACCTGAGGAATACAGTTTGACTTCAGCATATAGCTCAAAGGAGAGGAATAAGTCTCCCTATGGGAGATGAAAGATACATACCTGCAGTAACAACCCAGTGAAAACTTTGGAACCAACAGAAAAAAGTCTGCCATATTTTAAGGAGAACTTTTATGAGTATCGCTTCCTGTCTGAACAATAAACAGTTAAGATTCAGGTAATAATATTTACTTTTATATGTACAAGAACTTCCTTAGATATTCAGCAGGAAATTTCTATCAGAAGTGACATACAAAGAACTTTGACTAGATAGAAAACTATATCCTGAAAGTGATGCAGAAACACATTTTTATCCTCTATGGGTTTAAATAATGGATAAAAGTGGAAACTCCATTACACAACTAAAAACACTTATTGTATGTTTAACCAAGCATATAAATTGCATTTTTGGAACTGCAGGAGAAACAAATGTCACTGGCTTCTAAACTGAATGTATTTATGAAAAAGAGATGAAAAAGTAGTAACATAGTTCATTGTCTTTCAACAAGAATTAACAAAGGTAGCAAGACAAAATCTGTGCTTTTCAAGTACCTTTCCTCTTGAAGTCATTTGGAAACAGCCAGAGCAAGCATAAGTATTTAATCCATGAACACAGTGTAAAGAAAAAGCTAAAGATCATCTTCAGACCCTCAGGATCTAGAGTCTTGACCACAGCATGTCATTTAAAACCAATGCCATAGAAAATCCAACAAGAACCTACTAATTAGGCCCTCCCCTTAAGAGAGTTGCCAGCACACCTGCAACTACTTGATGGAACAAGCTCTGAGCAGAAAGCAACAGCAGCTGCTTCCTATTGTATAGGCTGGAACTAAGTTAAATTTGCCTTGCCAGCTACACAGGAGAGATCAGCTTCACCTCATTAGTTACAGGTGCTACTTACTGATGTGGAGATGAAGGCATTTGTCTAGGAAAACACAGTTGGGACCTGAATCTGGGCTTTCCAATTCAACACTTGTTTGCAAAGAAATCAATAAAGCACAGAAGGATTATCAGCTGAAAAGGGAAGCTTTCTTTATGTTGCCTGTCATTCCCTTCCCAGTGCAAAATTCACATGTTCAAAATTCACAAATGAAGCTGTATAGAAATGCAACAGATGTCCAGTTCTATCTGCAACATTTTATACCATCTTTGGATCTCCATCTCAAAGCCAGTAACAGGTTCAGTTTAAAAAAAAAATACTGAAAAGCAGAATTGATTCCACAGGATAAGAGATAATAGCTACCTGGCCACAGCAGAGAAAATACAAACCTCCTTTGGAAAGGAAAAACATTAATACTTTAGTTACTGTCCAGCTAATTAACCCATACTACTGACAATGATCAGAGAATGATTATTCTGGAATATTGCACATATCCATTTCCTACTTTTTGGTATCAACAAAAGACCATCATAGCACCTTGGTGAAACATCCTTCTGCAATAATGTATTATTTTTACTGAGCCCTCGCATATTTTTACATGTGTCCTAACTTAAACAACTGCAATATAGGTGCCCCCAGTTTTCTTTCTTTGCTGAATAAAATTGAAAAGACAAAGCACTTGCCCTTTCTTGAGCAGCTACTTCACTCAGCACACAAACGGAAAGGTAACTTAGTTCATACAGCTTTAATAGAAGTGAATTACTAAACAAGTTTTCTCTCCAAATATGAGATATGGAAATCAAATAAAAGGGAATCCACAAGTAATTTGCAAGTACTGTATCGCCCTCTGCAGTCAATGGGTAAGTTCTGCAAAATTAACCTGGGCACATCCCTTGCAAAGATCAACAAAAAACCCTCCACAAGTAGAAACTCAGCAGAACTTTTTTATGAAAATGTCTTACTTGTTGGAATCATAGGAACACAATGCAGAAACTTATTAGTTCTTGATATAAATGTTCCACCTGTTAAGGATGTGGAAAAGTATGTTCTGCTGCTCCTTCACAATGGGTCAGATTCCTTAATGAGACTTCCAGCATTTACTCTCTTGGAATGTGACAGAAGTTAGCCATATCCATTACATAACTCTTTTGTGGTTGCTTCTAATAAATATCCAAAATAAACTGCACTTTTTAAAAGTTAGATTAGCTGATCCATCAATGACAGAGAAGTATATTTTACAGTTCAGGTACTGAACTATTTTATTTAACACAACTTACAGCTTTAATAGGGCATTTTGCTGAGATTTTTACAGCACTGTACTGGATTCACCCTGGCTGGATCCCAGGCACTCACCAAAGTTGGTTTTCTATCACTCCCTCCTTTGAACCAGAGGGGGGAAGAAAAACACAACAGGTGAGCGGAAGGGTCATTCATCTATTACTGTCACAGGCAAAACAGACTTGCCCTGGATAAATAGACTAAATCCTTTACCAATGAAATCAGACTAGGATAATGGGAAAGAAAACCAAATCTTTAAACAACGTAGGGTTTGAATAGTGTTATAAAAGAAAGTTAATTAAGACCACCTGTCTCCCTAATTCTTCACTTTCTCAACCTGTGATAGTACTCGAGGAAATAGCATGAACCTGAGTCAGGGGAGATTTAGGTCAGATATCAAGAAAATATCTTCCACCCAGAGGGTGGTTGGACACTGGAACTAGCTCCCCTGGGGAAGTGGTCACAGCACCAAATGTGTCTGAGTTTGCAAAGCATTTGGACAATGCTCTGGGGCACATGGTATGACTCTTGGGGTGCCCTGTGCAGGGCCAAGAGTTGGACTAAGTGATCTTCATGGGTCACTTCTAACTCATCAGATTCTGTAATTCTCTTATTAACACTGATTGCACTGCATGACAAAACTAATTTCTATACAAGCATCTTCATTCCAGCTCAACTTATAACTGCTTGGGTTTTCTTCCCCTTCGATCAATGAATAGAAACTTTTTAAGCAAATACCAGATTTTACAGTACTTTTTTTCTCTTAAAGAAAAACCTTTGAACTTTATGAACAGCATATCACCACTAAAACACATATGAAAGCAATGAAGATAAATTAATTTAACTACTTTTTAAAATAAGATTAAACTTTTGAAGACCCATTCTTTTGCTCTCAGCAGACGGCTGAAAGACTCATACCACAAACATTCAAGGAAAAGTATTAAAAGCATTTGATGGTTTCACAGGACCGGTTTGGGTTGGAAGGGACATTAGACATCACCTATTTCTCACCTGATACCATAAGCAATGACGCAAATCACTACAGCACATTGCTCGGGACCCCCGTACAACTCAGCCTCAACCACCTTTCTTTTACTATCACCCCGTGAGTGCCACTGAAAGTAATAAAGAAGGGCTTAAAAGCCCCACTGGAAAGGGGAGTGGCAGCTGGGGCGGGTCACTGGGGCTGTCCTCCCTCCCCGCGGCCGCGTTCCCCCGGCGACGCCCCGCCCGCCGCCGCCGTTGTTGCTCCGGGGCTGCGCGGTGTCCCCGGGCCGGGCCCCCAGCGAGCCCCAGCCCCAGCCCGGGCCCCCAGCGAGCCCCCGCCCCAGCCCGGGCTGCGGGAAGGGCAGGATCGAACCCGCCTGTGGGCCGGACACAGCCCCCACGCTGCTCACCCGCCCCAGCGGGGCCCCGGGCAGCCGCCCTCTGGGACCCTCCTCAGCCCCAGACGTCGGAACCGAGACCGGCTCTCTGGGAATACCCAGGAGATAAGGCGAGAGTCCGAGCAGCCACGAGGACTGAGGAAAAGCATCTCTCAGCCGCAGCAGGACCCCCAGCGAGCACAGGACCAAAGGAGGAGTGTCGGCCACACGGGTGCAGCAGGACAAGCACGGTGTCGGTCACAGAGGCCAGTTCAAGACCTCGGCCACCCACGGCCGGCAGCGCCAGCCGCTGAGCCGCTGCAGGTGCCACAGCTAAACATCAGCCAGGGACAAGGCTCTCCAGGCACCGGGGACAAGGCACAGCATGGACGAGTCACTGGGATCAGACCCTTCGGAGGAACCACAAAGTGCCGACCCACAAGATGCCTATGAACGTGGGCATGGCCCTTACCAGCCACACGAACCGGGCTATGGTCTTGACCAGCCCGGATACAGCCCATACGAGGATGAGATTCCTGATCCCCAAGCCCAGATGCTGGCAATCAAGAATGCAAAAGCCTATTTACTGAAGACCAGCACAAAATCTGGCCTGAATTTGTAAGTCTGAAAAAGGATCGCAATCAAAAAGGGTAGGAAGTTATGAGGGGAGAGAAAGGTAAAAGGACAACAGGAGGTACATATAGAATGGGATTATCTCATCACTAGTGATACTTGCATGTGTCCAATATATTTCAGAACCAAAATTCCTAATGGAATTTTATAGAGAGTTCAAAAAGGAATTGATATGATTGAGAGTAAGTTTAAATTCAGATTCAGCTCATAGATAGATGAGGTATATATTAGAAATGGAAGATGGGAATGCTCTTAATCAGACTAGCTTTAACTCTAATTCACCTTAATGCTCCATGATTTCCTTTCTTCTAACTATTCCAATGATTTCTCCAAAGATCCAGATTATTAGCCTTTACTTTTTTTTACTAGAATAATATTCTAAGACTTTTGTATAGTAAGCCAACAATATTTACATTTATATGACAGATATGATCATTTTGCTAATATACTAACAAAGATCCTGGATGAACAGCCCACAAATGTAGTAGACATAATTGAGAATATCAGCAAGGATGTGAAGTGGGCTCAGTTTCGGAAAAAAATGGACACTCTCCGAGATGAACATCTGATTCCTCCAACATTTGAAGCTGCAGAAAAGTGTAAAGCTTTGTTCGTCAAGGAAGGTGGAGAAGAAGAACATGAAGAAGTAGAAGAAGAGATGGTGAGTTTTTATCGGAGTGAAACAGGTACCAAATATAGCAGGGAAGGGGTGTGTGGATGGTGGGAAGGGAAAGGGGAAAGGGAGGAAGTTGTGGTTTCTTCTGTAGGACTGCCCCTCCTGACCATACAAATAATTGTAGTCACAGCACCATGTACCCTCTTCACAACTGAGCTCGTCCCATATCTAGTTCTGAAGAAAAAAAACATCTGGTTACTTAGTTGTGATTTTTTCCTGTAGTAAATCTAATATCCTGAGCCTTTATAATCAGGGATGTTCTAGAGGCGATGAACAGAAAGTAAGGTTTATAATATGTCCCATATGCCAGTTCAGCACAGAATATTGCATACAAGTTTATTTTCTTTATATAAAAGGGATGTTTCTTTACCTAAAGTGACCATAATTCTTGATGCCAGTTAGACAATATTGTGCACAGCTGCTACTGTAAAATAGCAGAATGCAGAATTCTGTGATTCTTCCAGCTCCTGGTTGGTTCCAGTCTGTCCTTCTCCAACTGAAACAAAATACGGTTTTAATGAAGAACTAATACAATTGAAAAGACTTCTTAAAACAGGATTTTTCATTATTCACTTGCTTATATGCAGAATCATTCTCATCTTGTAATGATAAATACAAGAATATAAATGAGAATTCTAACAGCCAAGGAAAATCATTCAACAAGATGTTGATTTTCATATGAAGTTTATTCAAATGAATTGCCATCACAGACTACAAATACCAACCACAGAAGAGATAATCCTTCATATTTTCTATAGCCTCTTGTGTATCTTACATTAACAGTATAGGATGCTGAAAATGGACAAAAATGTAGGACAAAAGTTTCAGAAAGGAATTCTGAATTTTTCATACTCCTGTCAATCTTCCTTTGATATAAGAAACCTGTCAGATTGAAAGAAATTCCATATGAAACTAGCACTCATTCTTCCAAATTCCCCCCCCGTCATATCCAACTTCTGATAACTCTGTGTTGTATGATCACCTACCCACCATTAAATAAGGGTGGTAGAGCAACTAGAAATACTTAATTATTGACCTTGTTCTGCTTCCACTGAAGCCAGATGGAGTCTTACAGTGGACTTTGATAAGAGCAGGGGGCAATATTTTAAAAACTACAAGGAGCTGTATGCCAAGCAACATTCACCCCAGCGAAGTGTTGTTGGTCTGGTGCCAGAATATATAAAATCTCTATTATCTACAACACAAGGGGCAACAGTGTCACTGTTTGGCATCAAGGCCTCTTAGCTGACATGCCCTAGCACTGAATCCCTTGTAGATCTTGTGTAAGTATGCTGACTTTTCTTATTTTGCAGTAATTAGGAGTTGAATTTTGAACTCCTGTGTTCTAAGAGCTGCAGTTCATCTGTATTCTCTTCTTTACCACTAAAAGATTTTCAATTTTTCTAAATGATAGTAAAAATAATAGTGAATGAATGTCTGTGTCTTGGTTTGAAAAGACAGATGTCTGCTAAGGAAGGCAGGAAAATTTCCCTTGAAATGGAAAATGCAAACCCCCTCCCTCTGAATTATTATAATTTTGAAATGAAGGTTTCTTAGGCAAAGATATGGGAGCAGGAATAACTAAGTTCTTTACTAGTATGTATAAATAAAGAAAAAAACTACAACTTAATAGGAAAATTAAAATAAAATGCAGTAGTACAAGAAACACTGACAGAATACAACCTGACACCCTGTTGGTCAGGGTGTTGGTAGCAGTCTGTTTAAGTGGTGGCTGCAGCCCTCCTGGAGTGACAGATGTGGTTCTGTTGAAGCAATGATCCCATAGGAGGGTGCAGTTTTCTTCTGAAGGTCTGGTGGTGATGTAGAACAGTCAGGTCTTCTGGGAATCCAGTGGAGAAAGGCTGCCTGTGGTGTTCTGAGTCTCAGATTATATCCAGGTAGGAATGCTTGGCTCCTCCCCCTGGGTGGAGCAGCTCCCAATGGGATGATGTAATTTTATCAGTCATGCAGTGAGACTCAATGGCCCATTAACAGAAGAGATCCCCCTGGAGAGAGGATGGGTCATGGAAGGGATAAAGAATAATGCCCCACCTGTTTTTAACAGATGGTAATAGAATACTTACTTTTTGATTGCATGTTGCATTGCAACTTAGGACAGTCTGCAAAGCACTTTGAGATAATGAGTGGCACTACAGGAAATGAAGTATAATGTCCAATAGATAACATGTTCAGTTTTTGAAAGAAATAATTATCCTATTCTTTAGCTCTAACTCTGAATCTTCTTTCCTAGGGACAGCCCTCTCTACCAAATGTGATGGAAACAGCCTTTTATTTTGAACAGGCTGGAATTGGCTTGAACAAAGATGAATCCTATTACATATTCCTTGCCCTTAAAAATCTAATTAATGTTCATCCAATCCAGACCTGTCGCTTCTGGGGCAAAATTTTGGGCCTGGAAATGAACTATATTATAGCTGAAGTACAGTTACGGGAAGGGGAAGAGGAGGAAGAAATAGAAGAGGAAGGAGAGGAAACTATTGCAGGAGAGAAAGAGTTGGGTGAGGGTGAAGAAGAAGAGGAGCAGAAAGAAAAAGAAGCTGAACCACCAAAGTCCACCTATAAACCCCCACCTGAGATCCCAAAAGAAGCAAATGGGACTGGGACTAATAAATATGTCTACTTTGTCTGTAATGAGCCAGGCAAACCCTGGATGAAGTTGCCTCCAGTGACACCAGCCCAGATTGTCTGTGCCAGGAAAATCAAGAAGTTCTTCACTGGTCGGCTGGACGCTCCTGTTGTGACCTTTCCTCCTTTTCCTGGAAATGAGGCCAATTACCTGCGCGCACAGATAGCTCGAATCTCAGCAGGAACCCATGTCTCTCCCACTGGATTTTACCAGTTTGCAGAGGAGGAAGAAGAAGAAGAAGGAGCAGATACATATGAAGAAAATCCCGAGTTTGAACCTCCTCCTGTGGTTGAAATGGTGGAGTCCCTCACAATGTGGGCACACCATGTCAAGGGCATTCTAAATCAGGTGTGTGCCAGCATAGCTCCCATGGACCTTCGATACCGCTCACGCTGCAGTGCTTGTAGGGTTACAGAATATGGATGACACTCCTCACCTGCACATGCAAACTATTCACCAGAAATTATATTGGATGGAAAGATTTTTATATAGAAAATAAATTTTATATCATGTCTAATACCAAAATATCTTACATATAAAACATATATTTTATATGGTATATAATAATGTAAATATCTTGTATGTATTTACATATACCAGATATATATATATGTATTTATGGAAGTTCTAGGTTTAGTACTTTTTCCAGTGATGTGTTCTTTGAAAACTATTGATTGAAACCTGTCTTTAAATAACAGTATGGAGCTAGGCCCTGATAGATAATAATAATTTCTTGCAGTCTTCTGTATTAGGTTTTCTGCTTTGAGATCCTTATGTGACAAAAGTGTTTAAAAATCTCTTTTCTTGGGTAGGATGCTAAAAAGCAGATAGCTTATGTTTATATGCCAAATGGAACTTACTTGGTGTTTTCTTGTGTTTAATTTTTTGTTTTATACTTTCTGGTTTTAAGCATTCAAATGAAAAAAACTTAAAAACATGTTCTATCAGATGAGTGCTAGAAAGAGGTATTATTAGTTAGGTTTTCATTGCTGGATGGTTTGATGGCCAGTCTTATCAATTCAAGGATGCTAGTGTAAAATAACAGCAAATGATAGGAAATAAGGTTTAAAGTGACTACCAGCCAAACAATAGTTGTAAGAAATAAAATTTATATGCATTAGAATCTTAAGAGCATTCTGTTATGTTTCTCAGACTCATAACCAAATAACAAAGCAGATTTTAAGAAGAAGGGGTAAGCCCATAGTTTGCAGTAACTGTTAATCCAAACTGGCCAGGAACTGAAGAATACAAAATTACAAAAGGCTGATTACAGAGGTATAAGGTTATTCTCAAACAGTAAGCAGGAATGAATGAGGGGAGGAGTGAGGGGAGCATTCTGCCCAGAGAATACAGTATTCTGTTAACAGCATATCAGTTATGGGATATGTACTTTTCTTCTCCCCATCCCTTAACTGTGTGTGTGTCTGAGCCAATTGTTTTAACTAGTTTTAACTCGTATTCTTTCAATGATTGTTACATGTATTTATTACTTTTCCACATCAATTATAGGGTCGCTGTTCTTGGATTAATCCTTCTCAAAAATCAGAGGAAAATGAAGAAGAAGATGAAGAGGAGGAAGAGGAGGAGGGAGAAGAGCAACAGGAAGAAAGAGGACCACCCCTTCTTACTGTAATCTCTGAAGATGAAGGTATTCTTCATGGAATATGAAGTTTTTGACAGAGAGTCGCTAGGAATATTGTCATTTAGCAGTAAATATTTGAAGTTACAGAACTCTGACACTTCTCGGGGGAATATACCTTGCCACTGTAGGGTAAACACATTATTTTACAAAATCAATCAAAAGCAAAATGGTTAATAGTATTGACATTAAAACTGAAATAATCAGGTTTACTAGGTAACCATCTTATTGAGATTAAAAGGAAAAAATAACTTAGACTTTTCATTTATTGCAAGTTCAAAACTTGAAATACATTCAGCTATTTTTATCTCTTCTTTTTAGGAAAAAAGATAAGTGTCTATGTGTAAATAAATATAATGTTTAATATATACACACATGCACTGATATACATTAGTTGTATAAGAATTTAGATCTCTTAGCATACCACTGCAGCAAATCATGGGAATAAGGGAGCCTGAATATTAGATTACATCAATATTTGATTATTTTCCTACTCTGTTTTTTAATCAAGGTGAAATATAGCTATAGAATTTATCCATAAGTGATTAAAAGTCCTTGACAAAAGAACCAGGGGTGAGTGCTACTGAATTTTTTCTGTATGTGGGGGGTCTACCAGCATTCCTGTGCTACCTACCCATACATGCAAACTACCTGTTTGAAAACAGTGTGCCTACACTTGCTGTTTCTGACTTCTGGCTCTTCTGTTGTGCAACTTAATATAAACCTTGCTTGAATTCTGTGCAAGTCTTTTAGCTCAGTCTAAAGGACTTTTTTAGATGCTCATCAAGTCCATCTTTTCATAGACAATGTGTGTTTGGCTGTCTCCAGGCATGAAAGACATCCCTGCTTGGACAGCTCAGGCTTCTACAAACCTGATCCCGCAATATTCTATTGCAATCCTGCAGTCTAACCGATGGCCTGGAGCTTATGCCTTTGCTTCTGGCAGGTGAGAGTCCACCTGACAAGGTTACAGCACTGACTGTATATGCTACACACAGGTGCCTCTCTAATGCAGGCAGTTACTTTATTATTAATTCATTGACTGAATTCTAACTATTCCAGAGACTGGTGGAGAAGGCCACTTAAATGTGCACAGCAACAGTAAATATGTATTTAAGACTGAAAACAAATAATCATTGGAAAGGCTAACATGAAGTTAATGGATGTAAATGCTGAGTTAGTATTTGAGCACAGTCATTGATTTAAAACATATTCTTGTGTCTGTGGGACATTTTACAAAACTAGCTATATTCTGTAGTTCTAATGTTAATTTGTTTCCACTACACGTGGTTATTACCTCCATGTTTATTTCCACTACACAGTCATTCCACTACACTGTACTGCAGTGCAGTGCAGTGACACTTCAGCATTTTAAATAGATGTATTGATAACCATTAGAGCAGTTAAAAAGAGGTACCATGTTTAAAATTCTTCTGCTATAGGATATCTGCACCACAGTGACTTCTTGCGCAGCAGAGTAAGGATGCCTGACAGTGTCTCTGCTAATATTTTGTCAGGGGATGAATGTGTGACTTTCACTTCTCTTTCCCAGGAAATTTGAGAACATCTACTTTGGCTGGGGTCACAAATACAGTCCAGAAAGTCACACTCCTGCACTGCCCCCGCCAGCACAAGCAGAATTCCCCAGCGGGCCAGAAATCACTGAGACAGTAGACCCCACTGTGGAAGAGGAAATGGCTTTCAAGGTTGCGCAGGAAGAAGCCTTAGCCGAAGCTGAGGAAGAGGAAGATGAGGAAGGGGAGGATGATTAAAATATGGAAGAAAACAGATTGTTTTAAAAGTTTGAACATAATCAGCATTTAACGTAGTCATTTATTTGCTAACCTCAAAAGAAATGCAGTTGGAGTGTGCCTTCTTTTTTGATTTCTGTAGGCTTTTCTTTGCAGCTATGTTCATCTCCTTCCCTACCCCTCAAACCTGCCCACGCTGGCATGAAGGCTTTTTCTATGTTTGTTTGACTAAGCAAACACAGTCTGCTTCCTAAATGATACCGATTTGAACTAATAACTAATAACTACCACCCACCAGATGTTCACACTTTCTAGTCAATACATATATACATTTTACTTAAATAAATAAATTTTTTCAAAATCCCATGAGTGTCACTTTTACATGTAAAAGCATACTATCCAGATTCGGTAGGCAGCTTATTGAGGTACGGGCTCAGTGCAGGGCAGTGACACTGCTCATCATTGGCACTCGGGGGCTGCGCCTCCACTCCCGTGCTCAGTTTTGGGACTCTCAGTGCAAGACATGGAGATGCTCGAGCGCATTCAGAGAAGGTGGTGGAGCTGGGGAAGGATCTGGAGCACAAGTCCCGTGAGGAGCGGCTGCAGAAGCGGGGAGTGTTGAGCCTGGAGAAAAGGAGGCTCAAGGGAAGCCTTATCGCTGTCTACAGCTGCCTGACAGGAAGGGGTAGCCAGGTGGGGGTCGGCCTCTTCTCCCCAGTTACAAGCAACATGACAAAAGGAAACAGCCTCAAGTTGCACCCTGTTCACATGCCATATTAGGGAAAAAAAAATCCTTAATGGAAAAGGTTGTCAACCTCGGCACGGCTGCCCAGGGAAGTGGGGGAGTCACCATCGCCGGGGGCGTTTAAAACACCCGTGTATGGGGACGTGAGGACACACCCTGAGCGGTGCCACCTGGGCGCTGCCGTCAGGCGGGGGGGGGGGGGGGGGGGGGGGCGGGGAAGGTGTCGCGGGAGCGCTCAGGGGCTGTCAGTCCCTGACCGTGGCCGCCCGCCCATACCTCCCCGCCAGCTTGTGCGAATGGTGCGCTCCGCGCACGGCGTGCGTCCCTCGCGGGCCAATAGGGAGCGGCTGCGAGCGCAGTTCAAACTGCGGCGGCGGTTGGGGCGGGCGCTCCCTTCTACCGGCGCTCCCGGGCCCGTCCCTTGTCCCGGTTCCGCTCCTCCTGTCCCGGTTCCGCTCCTCCTGTCCCGGGCGGGTATGGCGGACGAGGGCGCCGTCACGGTGTGCGTGCGTGTTCGGCCGCTCATCGCTAGGTGAGCCGCCGGGCGGGCAGCAGGGGGAGGCTCCCTCCGCACCCCTGGGTGCTGCCGTGCTCCCGCACCTGGGGCAGGGAGGCGGACGGGAGGGGTCCGGAGCGAGGGGCTGGCACCCCTCGGAGAGAAAAGGGGGTCGAAGTAAGGGGCCGTGTTTTGGGAGCAAAATCCTCGCCCAATAAAGGTAACAGAATGTCTCTTCTTTTAGAGAAAATGCCTCAGGAGATAAAGTGTCCCTGCACTGGAGAAGTGAGAATAATACTATTTCCGACGTGAATGGTACCAAAATATTTAGTTACGGTAAGAATGCGAAAGCAATTGCTTTACTTAGATGCTTACGCGGAACTTTGCTATTGTACTCATGAGCATGTCGGCTGTGGTGAATGCCGTGAGCTTCTTTAAATGCCCCCCAAGCCTCCCAGCTTCGTAATTCCGAAGGAGTGTCATTGGGGGACACAGGATTTCTGGTGTAGGCAGTACTGGGATGCGCTTTTGAGATCAGCTTCCTGAGGGACGTTGCTTTCTCTGTTCTGGTTCATGCCATAGTGGCTTTGGAACATGTTTGTTTGCTCTGAAATCCAGTTACAAATGGACTAAACAAGGGCTAGTCCAGAGCATTTAGGGAGAAGGTTATGGGAGAACACAGTCCTAGAAGTGACTAGTGTGAGTGTTGGATCCTCATAACTGGCTCCCTTTGAGTCTTCTCATACTGGTCGACTTTACTTGTTAATATGAATGTAGCCACTGCAAATATTTTTCCCAAAATACAGATTCAATGAAAGCATGCACCAGGCTAGGAGTTTAACAATTAACGTGTCCTGTCAGGCTTCATCCTTGTAGATAAATTAGCCAAAATTTTGTGGGATTAAATGGGATGACCATTTAACTGTTCATCATTCTTAGGGTTTTTTTTTAACTTGTCTATCATCTGTGCATTGTGTCTTTCTTGATTTTGTGTTTAATATTTATTTTAAAAGAAAACTTTAAAAGCTTTGTGTTAGTGATGTTATAATTATATTTATATTTTAATTAACCTACAAACAATTATGCAAATTTACTGGATTTGAAGTCAGGAATACTAAAAGACAGCTTGTTTTGGTTTGCAATAGAGTGGATTCACATGCTTTGTATCTTTTTTTGTTTCAAGATCGTGTCTTTCACTCAAGTGACAACACTCAGCAGTTGTATGATGGTGTAGCTGTTCCAATTATACAGTCAGCTGTGCGAGGCTATAATGGTAAGTTTTAAAACTGTGTTTAAATCCTTTTTGTAATGTATTTCAGAGATAGTCTGTAAAGCTTAACTGTCTTTCTAGGCACGATTTTTGCTTATGGACAGACTGCTTCAGGGAAGACTTACACAATGATGGGGAATGAAGATTCCATGGGCATTATCCCTAAGGCAATTCAACATGTGTTCAAAATTATTTGTGAGGTGAGTAATTCTATTAAATTGAAGTGACTGAAAGGACTAGTAATATTTGTGATGGTTACATAAAAGTTAATTTTAGTATCAAGAGTCTTATGAAGGAAATTAATTTATACTGCACTATATGTTGCAGTTACTTTGCTAGCCTGGCAAAGACGAGTGTTGCAAACAAAAAGCTAATGGGACTCTATTAGTTGAAATCAAATCAGAAAATAACTGAGGAGCAAAACGTGTGAAGTGTGGAATATGAACAAAACATATTCCGAATATATTAAACTGATTACAAATAAAAATAGGTACTCACTTGTTAATGTGGTAGATAAGATAATGTGAAACGTTGTGTTTATTCTGCTATTTTAAAAGTCTAAAAAATTAACAGTTAAAGACTGCTTTTTAGCAGGAAGAATGTGACACTATATTTACTTATTTCAGGCTTATGAAAGAATTGCCAATTCTTTTGTAATAATTAATATTCTCAATATTAATAAAAGTAAGGACAAAGTGTACATTAAAACACTGATTTCCAAAACAGAGTGCTTGCTTCTGCCTTGAGAGTTTCAGGTAATTGTTACCAGTGAAGTGAAATGGTCTCTGCTCCTTTAAGGAGGTGCAGAGTACCCTTAGAGGGTTTATAGAAGTAAACTAAAAGCAAGAAAATTTTCCTTGAGTCCATTGTGCTGCCTTTCCTCACCACAACATTCTCTACCAAGGAGGCAGGGGAAGAAGGAGCAGCAGCAAACTAAATCTAAGCAAGCAAAGAGAGAAGACAAGGTATACAGAGAGGAAGGAGCCTAAGCAGGAGGAAATTGGTTATGGAAATGGCATTTCAGTAGGAGAATTATTGTCGTGCTTCTGTAGGACGGTTATCTTAATTTTGTAACCTTTTAGAAGTGGTATACCATTAATGCAGCTGGAAAGAGGCGGGATAGAAGAAAAATTATTCTGTATTGGTAGATGCTAATGTACAGAAAGACCGAAGAGAAAGAGATCTGTGGAACAATGTTCAAACCTTTATCTCCAATATAAGAATACTTGCATTAAAAGATGTCCATCAGTCTGGTTTTTATTTGGTTTTTTTGGTGTTTTTTTTTTTTCCTTTCAACATTAGATTCCAGATAGAGAATTCCTGCTAAGGGTTTCTTACATGGAAATCTACAATGAGACAATTACTGATTTGCTTTGCGATAATAGGAAAAAGAAGCCTCTGGGAATTCGTGAGGATGTTAATGTAAGTGGCTGTTATGTTTAAGTATTGTATCTGCTTGGAGTAAAAGAAGTTGGGGAAGAAAACGCCCTCAGAAGCATCCAGTAGAAAACTTTTCTGCGACAATCTCTGTAATTGTATCTTCAGCATTAGGAAACTTTTTAAATCTGTTGTTTGATTCTTGTGCTCTTGGGCCACAATTGTGGTCAAAGTCTAAACTTTACCCATGCCTTGCATTTGGAGTAAAAAGACATTCAGCTGTTGAATAAATGCCATAATAATTGCTGGTAAAGTTAACTTTATGTACTGAAGTGTGTTTTGGAGTTCAGCAAAATTTATTACTCTGTTTATTCTATAGAGGAATACATATGTAGAAGATCTGATTGAAGAAGTGGTGGTTTCCCCAGAACAAGTTATGGAATGGATCAAAAAAGGAGAAAGTAAGTATTTAGACAATGTCAGCTGTTAGCTTAAAAAAGTGTTGGTTAATCAGGTATATTTAGAACCATGGAGTATCCCTTTTGGTTTATATTCATAAACCAAAGTTTTTCAGGAAGTTTTAAAATTGTGCTTTTTGTCTATTTATCCCCAGTTTATCAGATAAGCAGAAGTATTCTAATACTGTTTTTGACAGGAAATCGCCATTATGGAGAAACAAAAATGAATGAACACAGCAGCCGTTCTCACACTATCTTCAGAATGGTAAAAACTGTTTCACTACTGGGAGTGGTTTTATTGTTTTCAAAGTAACAAAAACTTCATTGTACTTCATTGCATTTCTAGATCATTGAAAGCAGAGAACGAAGTGACCTTGCAAATGCAAACTGTGATGGAGCAGTCATGGTTTCCCACTTGGTAAATGTCTATTTAATATGGGGTACAGCTTAACTAGAGAATTTACTGTTACTGGTTGTTTGAGACACTAATGGTACTTCATAATGACTTACAAGAATTCTTTGTTGTTAACTCTGACAGATGTTTCTTAAGTATAGAGGGAGACTCCTGTGGCATTATCTAGAGAAGATGTTCCCACCAGAGGGAATTCTACATGAGAATTATTCATGCTGGACTGGGGAGTGTCATGATCTTCTAGGAGCATAAGGGACTATGTCAGAGAGCTCTTGCATTTTGTTAAATATATCTTCCTTACAATTGTTCCTGACAATTGCCAAGTCCTGTGAAATACCTTGTAGAATGGGTAACCTTAAGACTTCCCTTATCCTCAAATTTAGCTGTTGTTAAAATAACATATGGCCTACATCTGCAATGGCCAAAAGATTGGGTTTTTTTCCAGAAGTAACCCCACTTAGCATGTTTTTGGTGGATTACTGGTATATGAAATACTGTAAACTGGGGGGAATACCATTGGACATCTCTAGGGAAATATTAAGGTTTCAGAAACCTTTTCTATGGCCTTTCCTTGAATCTCAGAAAATTATCTGAAACAACTGCAGGAATGGAACCAATGTGAAACTATTTTGCTTTTGCTTTGTGAAACAATGTTAAAATCTGATGAGCACTCTTACTCAGAATTAGAAATAGCATTAAGTTATTCACATGCATTGTGGAAAGAGCCTTCTGTCCTGGTTTCGCATGAAAAAGCGCTGAATGTAGGTGCTGCTCATGCAATATCTCAATAAAGTAACGCATGCTTTTTGTGCTTACCATAACTTCTGGTATCCGCTCTTCCTACACCACCCCCTCCGCCCCATCTCAGTTCCAAATGACTTTAGATTAACCACGAGTAGCAGGGGTGAGGGGAGAGGGATTTTGGCCCTCTTGGTCTGTTGCTGTTCAGTGGAGTTAGTACAGGATTTTACTCCTCTGAAGCACTAAACTGAGGGTTACTTGCTCAGGCAAATCATTATGGGATGCCATAATGTTCTAGTTGGCTTTGAACTAGGTTCAAAACCCAGAGGTTTTTCCTCTAGTAGTTCATTTCTTTTCCTTATCTCCACAATGACAGGCAAGGAGAGATATACAGCCAGCTTTGGACAGGACACCAGATAATCTTACCTAGCCTCTTTCCCATGAAAGATTCCTACAGCTGAAATTAGTAGTTAACACTTCTGTATTGAGAAACTGTGTTTATCTTCTTATGACTGAGGGGAGAGGTTATTGTACTGTGAGTTTGAAACACTTTTTGGGGTGGAATAATAGAGTTCATACAAACTTACCCCACACCTTTGTGTATCAATATTTGAAAATACTGGTTGTGTATAGTAGCTGTGCATTAATTCCAGTAATGACAGACCCTTTGCTTTTTTTTTTTTTTTCCTTGAAGTTTAAATTTAGTTTATGGAATTCTTAGCAGAGATTTAGAATTATGACGACTTAAATTAAATTGCCTCAGAACTAACCTGTGAAATATTTAATGAATTTGCAGAACCTGGTAGATCTGGCAGGCAGTGAAAGAGCTAGTCAAACAGGATCTGAAGGTGAGTGTTAAATGAGGCTCCACTGACAACAACTTCTGTTAATTAACCCTTATGAGAAACTATGACAGAAAGGAAATAATTTGATCCATGTGCTATTGTGTTATTTATTGTTTATAAATAAGGCCTTTTCCCCTTGGTAGGACAGGATCTACTCAGGAAAAGACTGTAAATGCTGTGAAGTGCAAACAGTTAAGTAGTAATATGCCTTTTCTAGAATTGCAGACCCAGCAACAGTCCTCCACTGAACTAATAGAATGGAGGTGACTCAGTGAAGGTGCGCTTGTAATAACAAAATCACAAGAAGCTTTTTAGGGACTTGTGTGTAAAGGTGAAGAGTGAAAAGATGGCTTACTCTTCAGTTCAGAGGAAGCTTGTCTGTTAATAGTGACATCATGAAGCTGCACCAAAGTGCCTTGATCACAATAAAGTGATCTGAGAGGGACACAAGTAAGTCTCTCTTACAAAGAATTACTAACCTAAAACTTGTATCTAAGACTGGTTTGTTATATGTGTAAATGTGGGCATTTGCAAAATTTAAACAGGAAGCAAAATTGTAATTCTTATGGGCTCAGGTGCTTATTGTGTAAAGGTTCTAAATGTTTACTTTTGATTACTGTTTTATTTCAGTGCAGTTTGGCTACCATAAAGGATTTGGTACAGCCTGCTGATGGGTAAATAGGGCATTGTGGCACTTAAGGTTTAACTCTTGTACAATCAATCCCTCTGAGCACAATGTAGCACAAAACCTTGACAGGTTGAAAATGTATCTTAATATTGTTTGAAATTTAAAATAATGATAAAATGTGTGGTACCTAGGTGTTCGACTGAAAGAAGGCTGCAATATAAATCGGAGCTTGTTCATTCTGGGCCAAGTTATCAAAAAACTTTGTGATGACCCTTCTGGGTAAGCCACTGTTTTTATACCTGTTCTAAGATAAATCACTGCTAAACTAAGAAATTAAAATCCTTTATTTATGAACTTATGTAGGTAACTGTTTCAAATAACCTATTACCTCTAGAAAATATATTTACCATGTTTATGCAGAAATCTGATTTTTTTGTTGTTGTTGCCTCTTTTTTATTAGCTTCATAAATTACAGAGATAGCAAGCTGACTCGAATTCTGCAGAACTCCCTTGGAGGAAATGCTAAAACAGTTATTATTTGTACAATTACTCCTGTTTCTTTTGATGAGACACTCAGCACTCTTCAGGTAAAGCTTCTCACCTCTTCTCCAGCACTAGTCATTGTAGAGAGGTTTGAGGGGTGGAAAACATCATCTGCTGGATCTTTAATGACTTGAATCTTCTGAAGGACTTCTGTAAACTCAGAACTTGAAATATTTTTTTGTACACAGCATCTTTTCCCAGTCCTTGTGCTAGGTTGTCTACTTGGAGTTTTTTGGAAGTTGGAACAAAGCTCCTTCTCTCACTTTGCAGGCAGGAGACAACCACTCTTGTCTCGTTTGCCTTTTCCAAACATAGTTAGAGAAGTCTTTGCTAGTGCAAGATGTTAGGCACTACAGGAATTGAACTGTTAATGAGCAGTATATTTTCTTTAGGTAGGATTGTCTCCCTTTTAGATGATCTTTTGAGCTTTTTATTAAATAAAAAACAACTTGGGATGCTCTTACTTAAATGTTATGCTTCATGTTTTAGGTATTAATATCAAGCAAGGAAAGCTTAACTTTTTCAAAGCTTAGAATACGTTAAAAATAAGCTAATTCACATATTTGTGTCCTATTATATGCTGTTCTTTTTCTAATAAACTCTCCCTTTAATTCTGTTGGGAAATATGGGATAAAATAAGTCTTTTTAGATTTTTGTTCTTCAACTATTGCCCATGAAAGCCTGTTCTTCCAGTTTGCCAATACAGCCAAAGGAATGAAGAATACACCAAAAGTCAATGAAGTACTTGATGATGATGCCCTCCTGAAGAGATACCGCAAAGAAATTCTGGATTTGAAAAAGCAGCTGGAGGAAGTATGTAATAAATTCAAATAAATCAGTCGTTAGTACTGATAGCTGTTTGGAGACCATCCATTTTAAACCAAAAGCAGTTAAATTTGGAGGAGTAGATGAACTCTTTAAAGTGATAGCTGCCATTTTTGTTGAGAGAATAGAAACTGAATAAATAGTCTAGAACACCTAATGGTAGTCAACATCTCTGTGTGCAAGCTAAGGCTGAATGAGATCAACTGACAGAATTGTTAATTGGCTACACATAATCAGTAGGTTAACATAATTAAGAAATGGAAATTTGTGATGCCTTACAGCACACTTTACTGATCAAAAGAAACAATTAATATAATTAATTAATCTAAGAAGTGATTAAATGTCTGTTAAAGATCCCAATTTCATATTATTTCCTGCCTCAATGTCTAACTTCAGTTTGAGTTTCGGGAAGTTGCAACTTCATGAGTATCACTGGCAAAACTTAGGTCATGTATAGGTGGAAGTGCATTCAGAAAATGAACAATAGCAACTTCTCACCAAACAATGTAGTCTCTGATGTTTTTCCTTCTTAAAAATCTATGGAGCTGTGGAACAATCTTGGAGGTCTTGTTAGATCACAGATGATTAAACATAAAGCACAGGAAAATAACAATGCTGAACATACTGTTCTAGTGCATTAAATCAAAGAATGCGCATGTTTTATTGCAAATTATAAATATCCTTAGAGAAAATTTTTAGAAAAATTATTTCTTATTTTTAATGATAATGAATTTGCGGCATGAGCTTGGGAGTATGTTTTCTGTCTTCTTTGATAGCAGGTAGCGAGTTATAGTTGAAAGAACCTGAGGCTGTATTGTTTCTGGGAGTTTGGACCACTTCCAAATACTAAATCTGCAGTCAAATTGTAGGCTAAATTCCTTCAGTTTCATTAGTAAGGATTAAAGATTTCTCTTCCAGACTTAAGAGTATATGTGTGTAGCTGTTTTTAAGTATCAGCAATTGTGTATTTTCTCTAGGAGTAGTTTCTGTTCTTAAAACACCAGTTTGATTAATATTCTCTTTATGGAAGGTGTCTTCAAAAACTCAGATTCATGCAATGGAAAAGGACCAATTGGCCCAGCTGTTGGAAGAAAAAAATTCCCTTCAAAAAGTACAGGAGGACAGAATACGAAACTTAACTGAGATGCTGGTGACTTCTGCTTCCTTTGCCTCAAAACAGAATGTTAAAGTAAGCACCTGTTCCAGATCTTGCCTGATAACTCTGAAATACTTTGCAAAAGGTAACATTAAATACATAGGGAAATTTTCACCTTTTTTTTTTTTTTTCATATTTTTAAACGGCTAACTTTTTAATTAACTTCTGACTGTCAATATTTCCTTGTGGTGAACAGACTGCAGGGACTTTTTTGCTTTCCAAGTAATTTTGAGGAAACTGCAAAATACTGTATAGTAACTGCTGATACAGGTACTGATACAGAACTAGCCTGAGCCAGCATTTACTCTTTACCTAGTGGTTTGGTTTTATCACTTTTTCTGTAAATCCTTTTTTAAAGGCCAAGAGAAGAAGAAGAGTTACTTGGGCTCCTGGTAAAATAAACCAGGCAAATGTGAACTTTTTTGAAGACTTTGAAAATGCAATGCCGACTGAAACAAAAAAAATGAAGTTGTCTCTGCCATCAGTAGGAGATGCGGAGGATTGTAAGTAACTAGATGGTCTTTGATGTCCTTTCCAACGCTGTTCTATGGTCTATCCAATGACTGTTCTATGGTCTATTTCATTTTCTGTGAAATTCTTGGTAAAAACTTTGCAAGCATTGCATTATATTTTGCAAATTACATTTTGATCCTTTGATAGCACAAATTAAAAAACAAATTAACAAGACTCCCAATGTTCCTGTAAACACCTTTCAATGAAAGTGCTTCTACCATCCCAACTTCCCTGGATGTTGAGCTTTTAATTTCTTAAAACTGAAGGGGAGAGCTTTGAGGTAAGTGGCAGGGTCTACAAACACTTGCCATGCAGCCTACCCACACCCCATAGTTTTTTGGGAAAGTGTTCTTCAACACAGACTACCCATTTCAACCCATGTTCTCTCCCCAAAAATGGTGAGGTGTGTGTGTAAAATCCCCAAATCCTCAACAAGAATAGGAAGTAATTATTCAAAGATCAGATTGAGACAGAGAAATTTAAGGATTCATAAGAGGAGTGAACTGAAAATTGTAAAAGAAATTTTTCTAAGAAAATTGAACTGAAGTCAAGAGTACAATTTAGCAGTATTGTTGCTGATTTACATCTTTCATCCTTATTACCTCTCCTGTCAAACGTATTTGCTTGCAGGTTAATTGTTCTGGGCTTTTTTTTCTGTATGGGGGTGGGGTGCTTTTTTCTCCTTAAATCTTGTAGGTTACTGTTGAGTGGTTCTTTCCTTGACACTCAAACTTTTCCTAGTCTGTAGTTAAGTATATATTCAGGATTTGGTTTAGACTTCATTAACTTGTGATAAGGTCATCAGCATAAGTATAGGGACTGGACTTTGGTGGTGCTCCCTTTTATAACAGAAGATCATGAGTCATAAGTCTTACTCAGTGTGCTGTGTTTTTTGCCATTGAACGATTGTTTCCAATGTGGTAAAATTATTTTAGGAGAAAATTCTTGATGCTCAGTTTTAAATTGACTGGTACTTTTGTTAATATCCCTTTCTTTTAGCTACCTTAGAGAATTCTGAGTATGACAGCACTATCCTGATGGTTCCTGATCAAGTTTCAGAAGCAGAATGGATTGCTGGTCCAAACATGAATTGGGTAACATCATAATCCATTTTGACTTTCTGATACTGTGCATATCCATAACATGCTTCTCAGTAAGATTTACCTTACTCTTCTGTAGAACACCAGTATTCTGTGTCTGCAGAATTATTGAAACTGGCTAGAAAGTCTCTTGGACATCTCTGTCAAGTTGTAGTATGGTTCTGTGCTTCTATGGGTTTGTGGCAAATGATCCAGACCTAAACTTTGGTCTTTAAACAGGGCTAGCTGTGGAAAGACAAGCGTCAAGGAATATAATGTTCAGCTTGCTTGATCTTGTAGCTCTGCTAACTGAGAATGTTTTTCTAGACCCAGAAAGACTTTGAAGAATCTGTGCAACTCTGTGAAGCATTAGCACTAGAAAAGGTAGGTCTGTTCTGAATTTTCTAGAAATAAGGCCGACATTACAGAAACAGCTTCTAAAGTTTCTTTTGCTGCTTCTTTAGGACATCGCTGTAAATGAGGTCAACATCCTGCAAGCAAACTTCAATAACCTAGTGCTGGAAAATGAGCAGTTGAAGTCAGAAATAAATGAAATGAAAGAGAAACTGAAGGAAAAAACAGAAATAGATGAATTTGAAGCACTGGAAAAGCAAACACAAAAAGATCATGAGGTAAGGTGCATTGAAATAGAGAGATGCAAATTCTCAATGCTCAATTGCTTTCAGTGTACGTAGCCTTGAATGTTGATTCACAAGCAGATGGTGTTATAAGCTAAAGTCAACAACAGAATGAATGAACCCAGGATTTAAACTGGATTTACTTGGAGTGTAGAATTCAGACAAATTTTTGGACAGTTACGTACTGAAGCCTGGTTAAACATGTATTTATGTGTATATAAGTATCTGTATGCTATTTTTATAAATATGTGATCTGAATTTCAGTCTAAATTTCTGTGAGGCAGTTGTTTTGCTGTTTATATACATTTAGACCTGTTTTGAAGTTAAAGTAAGGTAGCTAAACCATATTTCCCGTATTTCTTGTGCGAAAGATCTTGTCTTACTTCAAAGATAGCTCATTTTGGTAATCCACGGACTACATAAGCATTACCTTTTAACATACTATTTAGCTTAGTCATGAAATTATTTTAAAATAATACTTGGAATAGTAATGGTAAAAGCAAAACATTGTATTTTGTGCCAGGAAGTCACAAAAATGTGGAGTTACCTATTGGATAACTTAGAATATAGGAAATGCTGAGTTTCAGTTCTCTTTACCTCTTTGTGTGGTTACTGGAGATGTTACTTGTTTGTCCAAATGTTTATGCTCTGATTCTGTAGTATAAAATACTTACTACTTGTATTAGGTTCTACCCTGCCTAAAGGCTAGACTGTGAAATAAGTTATGGCAAAAAAAAAAAAAAAACCAACAAAACCAGTAACTTGAGGTACTGGGACGTGGATGTATTATTCCATTTCTTTCCTGATACCTTTGCTGGACATTATTGTGTAATATCTTCTGATCATGACACCAGTTTGAAGTTTGTTACATCCTTTTGCATTTTTATTTCAGGTAACAATTTAACAATGCCAGTGCTTATTTGCATTGTGTTCCCTTGCAATGATCTATGGATCTTCAAGTAAATGGATCCATAAAATATTACCATTTACCTTGTATTTAAGATTCTTTTTAGAAGACCCTTTGTATGCTAGACTGAATGTGCTATCTTCCCTAGCTAATTTTTAACAAATCCTAAGTTAGAGTTTTCCTGCAGTTTTTTAGTGTCTAATAACAAATGTAATGTCTAAAGTAGTTTATATTGCAAGAATTGCTTTTTGAATGATTTGTTTTCAGATATCTGAAGACAGTTCATAAAATGGAAGCATTTATTGATAGCCATGTAGTAGATTAATTATAGCAATACTGAAAGGCCACATATTTCACCAAATATATTAGATGAAATATATCGGTTTTTATAGGTAAACTGCTTAGGAATACTCACAGGAGGGTGCCTGTTTGAAAGCTTTGCACTCATCTTAAATTTACAGATTGCATTTTCTTACCTTTGCTTGTGACTATACATAAGTACTTGTGGATGAGTGCTTATTGTAAAACTTTTATAACAAAGACAAAAAGAAAGGAGCTTTTTCAATTTCTATCTGGTCTTCTACTTGTGACTTCTTTCACAGAATGCCACTAAATGTGTTCATGGCTTATTTTACTTCCATTTTGGCACCTTCTTATTCCTGTTATTGAATAGATAAAATCATAAATATCTGCCCTGTGTCATAAAAGCTACTTAAGATGACTAGAATTTGAAGTGTCGTATCAGTACAATTCCTGCATTAATTGCTTTGATCACGTTGCTCTTGCTTGTAAAACTATTGCAGATTAAATTGCACTTGATTTCTTTCTAATTATGGGGAAGCTAAAACAGAGCTCTGCATCTCATGTATCCATTTTGAAAGAGTATGCAGCATCTTGCTTTGTAGCTGTTTAAGTAGATGTGTGAGTATATACTAATAAAAAAGAAAACACAAGATAGACCTGGCTTGTTTTCATGGTGTTGGCAACTAAAACTACTGGTGTGGGTGCTTTCTAACATCCTCTGCAATTTTGCTTTAATCTGCTCCACAGATTCAACTAATGCATGAAATTACCAAGTTAAAGAATCTAGTTTCAAATGCTGAAGTGTACAATGAGGAACTTGAGGTGAGCCTCTCCATGAATTTACAGTAGTAAGACTTGTATGAAATACCATATCTGCTGAGGACAAGCTAGACATCATTGCGCTTGGGTTAATCTTACCAGCTAAGAGGAGGATATGTCTAAAAACCATGAATGCTTTCTGTGTAAGTTTTGATAAAAATACTAACCTGAAAATCCAAACTGACTACTAGAATCTTCTTTCCTCCTTTTTTTCCTCCAACTTTTAGGCAGAAATAAACGCCAAACTGGAACAGCTAAAAGAGAAAGAGAACAAAATAAAAATATTACAGAATCGTGTGGAAGAATTACAAAAAGCAGGAGTGGAAAAAAAGGAGACATCTTTTTCAGTGGTAAACTTGAGTTTTACTGAGTTTAGAGATTACTTTATTTTTTCTGAGTTGGATTAAACTTAGGCATAGCCTTGGTACGATGAACATGTTTCCCTTCCGATCCTGGGAAATTTTGTTTTACAAAGATTAAAATGTTAATTACTACATATCATACAGCATTACTCTGGGGAAGTCAACCTATGAGAAATGCTGCTGTTTATCCCATCTCTCAAACAACCTGCCACTCTTTCTCTTAAAGTTTTCTAAGCCTGCATTTACATTTTTACCACATTAAAATGAACACATTTGCTTTATTATGGCTCTATAGTTTTTCACTTCTTTGAGTGTTGTCTTTTTCAGGGAGATTCTGATAAACTGATTGAAGAAATTCAGCAGCTGAATAAATCCTTCTTAGATAGCGAAGCCATAGCCTTGGATGCCAAAAAGGAATCTGCTTTTCTCAGAAGTGAAAATTTGGAGTTGAAGGAGAAGATGGCAAGTAACTTTTATTATGCCATTTGTGGAAAATAGGTCTCCAGGAAAGAGATAAAAACAAAGTGAAGGCTTTTCCCATAGGAGTGGGTTGTTAGTTTTAGGTTTACCAGGAGCAAGAGAGACCAAAGCAGCAGTCTTTAGGGCATTATTAGAACATAATACTGCAGACCTAATTTTACCAGAGAACAAAGGAGGATAAGAGATGAGGACTCAGAAATGGGATGGAGCTGACTTTGAGCTTTGAAAGAGTAAAGACAAAATAGTAGTAGCAGTTATGGCCCTGCCATATGGCCATGCCTCTAAGGCATGTTTTGTTAGAGAACTCTGACAGGAATGTAGTTAAGTTGTGCCTTATTCTGCCATATGTGTCAAGGTCAAGCTGGTCAGAGTGACAACAGAAAATGTACCAGATGCATTATTTAAATGTCAAGTACATAGACTTTTATTCTGTGTGTGACTTGTGTGTTGTATTGTTTTCCTGAAGAATGAACTCTTAAATAACCACAACCAAATGCAAAAGGATGTTCAATTATATCAAAGCCAAATAGAAGCGGGAAAAACCAGTTACCGAAAAATGCAAGCTGACTTGCAGAGAGAGCTGCAATTTTTATTTCAAGAAAACTCAAGACTAACTTCACTGATGGAGGGTAAAGTTCCAAAAGGTACTGTTCCAGGTGGTGCCTTTCCACTGCTCCTCTCCTCCCTTTTCCCTGTAATAGTGGGAGGACAGGCAAAGCTTTGGCTCTTGTCTTCCTCAATAGATGGAGACGATGTCAGTATAAAGCAATATACCAGAGTATCTGGTATTGCTGGCATGGAGTAACTATTTGAGCACTTTCTTGAACATTCTGGAAAATTGCAGCTTACAGAATATTTTGCATTTTGCACAGTCAAGTTAATGAAGATTGTTGGAGAGACTCTAAAATATACTGGATATCAACCTAACTGGATATCAAACTAACAAATGCTGACAGAATTCAGACCAGGAGCTTAGTTTTTTATTTGCTGGCAGCAGTAAATTGTACTTTTCTGGAATTATAAAGATATGACATCTCAAATGCATTATAAATCTGCTTAATTTAAAACATGCTTTTTTTTACTCTTGCACTCGCTTATTAGTCTAAACTTAATTTTCTAGATTTGCTTTCTCATGTGGAGCTGGAAAAAAAGGCAGCTGACTTAAAAGGAGAACTAGAAAATGCTTTGAAAGAGAATGAGCTTCTACAAAAACAAGTAAACGAGCTATCAGAATTTCAATCTCTACCAACTACTGTTGAGATGCAAAGGAAAGAGGTAAAAAAAAAGATAACCTTTTTTCTTGGTTTTGTATTGTACTTCACTGGTAGTGTATTAATGGAGGCCTATTGGATATGAAGTTTTAATGCCAAAAGTTGTCATGTGTCAAACTGAGACTTTACCGTTAAGTTTGTTAAATTGTTGCTTCTCAGATATTTAATATTTGTACCTAGGAATAAGTTTATGTTTAGTTCAGTGTGTTTAGTCACTGACTACTATAATGAATCATGATTTTCTGGCCCAACATTTGCATGTCTATTTGCTATGGTCACCACTGACAACTGAATGTATAGATATAATGGTGTTTGATCCTGGACACTATTCTAAAACCGATTTTTTGGTCTAACTGACCAAAAGAAAATGTCAAGATACCTTAGCAAAAATTCTGCTTGAGAAATGAGAGATTTACCTTGCAAATTCTGGAAAACTTGTTAGGAAACTTTTTCATTTTGTGGAAGGTAAGGGGTTAGTAGACTTAGTATGTTGTAAATATTTTAAAGGGTTTGTTTGCAAACACTTTCTAGGTTTCTTTGTTGCAAGAACCACTTGCTACTAAGTATGTGCAGTGAAAATTATTCAGGGCAAGTAATCTACAAACTTATTAATGCTTTGCAAAGAGTTCCAAACCCTCCAAGGGTCTACTTCCACTAATCAACAAAATGTAATTAGATGTTAATGACTTCATCTCTGTATTGATGCCTTAAATTTTTAGCTTTTATATTTTTCAGATTCTGGACTGCATTAGTGTATAACTCTGAACTGTATATAAAATGCTAGTTAGCTTTCTTCATATTTGGGTCAGACTAAACAATCCTTCTGGGCCTGGGAACCAAGGTCACACCGTTTGCCTCAGGCCCTGGAAAGCATAAACAAAAGTGAATGGCGGGTAGGAGAGAAGCAAACCAGGGGAATGTGACTTCATTACTTGAAGATATAATTGGACAATTAACCTCTGATGTGCACATAGACCAAATTTATATCCATCTGAGATCTGAGAAAACCTGTGACTGTTGTGCATCTTGGGTGTAGCCTCTGCCAGGCTTTTGCACTGCCCAAGGTGCCCTTTGAAGGCCTTTTAATAAATATGTACTTTATTCTCCAACTCTGTCTATCCTCTGTTCTAGGTAGCTAGTCCAAGGCATCAGTATCATAAAGTATTGGTACATGTGAATATTCAGTTTAGGAGTCCAGTCTTAGCTCAAAGATAGGAACTATTGAAGAAGATCTAAAGTGTTAGAAGAAGAATTTCAGGGAAGGGGCTTGACTGCCTTCCTTATCTTTTAAAGTGTCTTTTCTAGATGATTCCCTCCCAACACAGCAAAACCCAATGTATTGTGGTGTATGTTTGTCTGCGCTTTATTTCCTGTATTTTCACATGTGCCTGTTTTGTATTATGTAGTTTTGACAAATAATGATTTAGAAACCACTATATATTAATATTGTTTTTCTGTCTGCAGATTCTTGAAAAATGTGAGGAGTTGTGCTTATTAAAATTGGAAAATGAAAAGCTGCTTTCTGAAGTATCTCATAATGAAATGAGACTTAAACATATGTCTGAAGAAATTGAAAAATCAAAAGATAATCTGACAGATGCACAACTGAAGTATGTGAAGTCTGATGAGGAATATGTAGCACTTAAAAAACTCCATGAAGAAATAGAAAAAAAATACATAGCTGCATCAGAAACCAATGAACAAATGAAGCTCCAAATAGAATGCCTATCTAAAGAAGCACAAGAGTCTAAAGCAATTTTGGATGAAGTCAAATTAGAGGTCAGTGTCAGCTTACTCCTTTTTACATATGAGACATGAGGAATTAATTCATAGTTTTAAAAAAGTAAGTTTTGGGAGAAATACTCCTAAAGGCGTAAATGGCAATACCACTGACTTCCTCTGGCATGAGTGGGTATTACTTTTTGTGTGCCAGGAGTATATCGAAGGATTGGTCAGCTCAATGGTCTCTTTTTGTAGGCAAAGAAATACATCTTGCTCCAGATTATTCTGTAATTGACCATTTAATTTTTTTTTCTCCATTCTTAAGAAATATCTTTATTATGTAAGTTTTTTTTTCCCATCAGTGCTGCTCTCACTTACTCTATATAAAATCATAGAAACAAAGTTTCCTGATTAGCAACTGGAGACCTTTTAGAAGGTTTCATCCAAAAAAGAGAATCGCCACAGAAATTGGCCACTAGAATGAAAAAATAAATATAAAGAATTTTAAAAAGAAAAGTAAGTTAAACATACATATTTTTGACAAAGCTTTGGGCAGTGCTCCAGCTGTCATATTCCACCTATGGGTTTGATAATTCCTAAACTATGCTGCAGTTTCACATGTATGTTTTAGTGCTATGTTTTAGAAAGACTTCTCTGCTAAGGAGCCATCACAGGAAGGTTCCATAAACAAATGCTTATTTATTGTGGGCAAGAGTATAAGCTGTGACTTAAAGAGAAATTACAAACTTGCTAGCTAGCATCTTTTGTCATTTCTAAGGTCATAAAAGAATCTGAGAGAACATGTCCATATAATGGAGTTCTGCATTACAATGAAAGTGTCTGTCCTTTTCCTTTGCAACCTTAAGCTCTCTAGCAAAATGAAAGAACTGGAAGAAAAAACAGCAGAGCAAAACCAACTTCTTGAGCTAAGAGAAAATCTTATTCGGACTCAGCAGAAGTTAAATGAAATGGAGCAATTAAAAGAGGAAGAAAGGATTAATGAAATGAGACAGGAGGCCGAAGATCTGGAGATCCAGGCAGTTTTGCAGCAGCTTACAGAATGTCGGGAAGAAATAAAAATTCTAATCCAGGAAAGAGATGACCTGAAGCAAAAAGGGGAGACTCTCCAAGCTGAGGCAGAGCAACTCAGAGAGGATATAAAAGACACTGTTTCAATGGTAGGAATTTTGCATTTTTTGAAACAGACCATACATGTTAGGAGAAAGACTTATAAACTGATGTTTAGGAGAACATAGGAGTATGATGTTTTTAATCAAGGAATGCTTACCGATATTACAAAATATATGTATTTTCTTTGTGGATTTTCTCTCTTGTATTCTAAAGAACATCTTGGCACATGAAGATCTGAGAAATACACAAAGTTCTCTGCAGGAATCCCAGAAAACTGTCAAGAAGTTGGAAAAAACGATTTCTGAAAAAGAATCTCAGATTCTGAGTGTTGAAGAGGCATTAGGGAAAACCATTAAAGAACTCCAAATACAGGTAAAACTTCATGCAGTAATTAAAACAAGCCCAGTTAATCTGCTTTAGTCTCTTCTGCGTGTCCTTAAAAAACTTTCTAGGCCCTTGGTAATAACAGGTGGGCAAGAAAACAGTACTGGCTAATCCAAGTCTTTACCAGCTGCTGCTGTTTCTGTAGAGCTTCAAAGCGTAATGTACAGTTTAATAAAACTTTGCTTAACCTGTGTGCCCCATGGTTGTGAATTTCAGTGGTGGCATTGGATGGGAAATGGAAGAGGAGATGAGTGTTACTTAAGTGTAGAAATGAGGCTGATTTATATTCAAAATATAAATAATTTCATGATTTATAATAGTCCCAATGAGAAGTGTAACACATGATTGTCAGTGGAAGCTCATATCCCAGCATACTGCAGAAGGCTGTTATAAATACTGTAGAAGAGTGAATTAAACATAACTTGGGCATTTAATTTTATATTGAATTGATGAAAAGGCTGTCTTTGTGTGTTTTTTAACAGATCTCAGAAATGACAGAAGAAATTAAAATCATCACATCAGAGAGAGATCAGCTTGCTGAGGAGAAATTGGAAAGTAATAGCTGTAGAGAAAGTGATCAGCTTCAGGTGCAAAAGGAACAAATCATTTTCCTTACACAAGAGAACCGTTCATTGCAGGAGAAGCTGGACAGCTTATTTTTGAAAAAAGAGGAGTTTGGAGAAGGAACTTTGGTAATTATGCTAAAGCTGTAATGGGAAGCTTGCCTATTTAAACTTGAGTGAAATAATTGCAGAACACGCTGCAGAAAGGGTCACTGTACTTGGCTGTACCTCATTAGACTCCAAGTTTATTATGGTTTGCTTATATATTATAACATTATAATAATAATAAATATAGAGATATATATGTAAATAGTAGGAGAATGATTATAAATAGAATATTAACTTGATACGGGATAGTGATGATCTGTGGTGATCTGGACAAGAATGTTCTTTAAGTAAGTAGATGAAGCTATAAACTATCTGAACAGGGTGTTTGACTCTTTTAAAGCATAAGTGGAACTGACTTTTTTTCCTGACAGTGGAAGGGACATTGCAACCAATACTTCCTGTAATTGGATGTGTTGATTGCACTCCTGTGTGTGTGTTTTTATAGCAGTGCCTCTGATTGTTGTACATAATCAATCTGTCAAAGGTGTCAGATAAGTTTCCCCTAAAGCTACTTCCTGAATGTGTTTACTTTACTCTCCTACAAAACAGGTATCACCAATGCAAGGACAATCTATGGAGCAAGAGTTAATTCTTCTGAGAGAAGAGCTGAGCCATGCACAAAGGAAATTGCATGAAATGGAGGAAGCAAAGGCCAGTGAATATCAAGGAGAATCTGAAGAAATGGAGAGTACAAATGTTATTCCAAAACCACATGACTCCCAGGAAGTCAGCACCCAGACAGAAAGAGATGATGATGAATTTAAAATGCAACTGGAAAATCTCCAGAATGAGAGGGAGCAGCTGAGGGAAACTCTACAGGAGACAATTAACAAGGTAATAAAAGTAGTCCCCTTCCTGTAGGAGAAGAGCTTCAGTAGATTTCAGCAGATAATCTGTCTTAGATTTGGAAGTGTTGTTCAGGCGTTAATGTACTTTAATTGTGTCCAAAGAACTCGGAGATACAGGAAGAGTTGAGATGTACTCGTGAATCTCTTGGACAACATCAGGAGACAATTGCAGAGCTGAAGGGCAGTATTTCAGAGAAAGAAAATCAGCTCTCGAGGGCACAAGAGGCGTTGGAGGAAAAAACTGATGAACTGCAGCAGAAGGTGAGAAGCAGTTTTGTCCAGAAAACCAGAAGCTCTGTTGGCTTTGGCAGCCCGTGTCTTCTGCAAACCTCAGTTTGCAGGGGCTCCAGTAGATGTAATAAAGAAACTGAATATTTATAACTAAATAAGTCTTGGTGCTGAATGACCGAGTATTTTTTGGAAGCAACAATGCACTTTGACTTCTGTCCATTTGCCGAGTCCTAGATTTCTTTCTATTCCAATAATGTAAATTAGCTAGGTAATTCTGAAGATCCTCAAGCACTTTTAGGACACCTTAACTCATTCTTGGATTTATTACACTATTATAAATTTGTTCTCTACATTTATTTTCACGTCTAAAGCCAGTGTGGCTTGTAGGCTTCACTTTAGCATATAGTAACATCTCCTGTCTACTGTGGATACAGCAATTGGGGCATTTTTATGGATTTAGAATATTTTACACCTTTTTCTACATTTTACTTTTGCCTACTGCTAAGACACAAGCACTGACATTTGATTGGCTTTTAAACAAAATTGGGTTTTTTGCAGGTTTTTTGCTTACCACAGCAGGAAATCATTGAGGGTGTCTTCTTAAAATAGTCCATTTATAACAAGCCATATGTACACACAGTGCTTCTGAATGATGACCCAATAACAATCTTCAGTCCAATCCTCATTGCTGGGACACAAAAATTTAGAAACATGAACTGTTACTACAATTGTTTTTTCTCCCAAGTACCAAATTATTTTTGCCCATGCAAGAGTTGATTATTAATACCAGTACTGTTTGGGATTTGTTCTTTCCAGCTCACTGAAGTCACTGCAAACCTGACTCGTGTCTCAGCTGAGTATGGCAACCTCATGGCAGAAAAGGAACAAACTGAAAGGGCAATGAATGAGCAAGTGTGTCAGCAGCTTGAGAGAATCACTTTACTTAACCAGGAGAGAGATGAGCTACAGCAAATGGTAGAGACTTGTAAAGAAAGGGAAGAACATTTGTTAAAGGTTCAAAGGCAGTCAGAGATCTTGAAGGACAGCCTAACAAGCAAGGTGAGTAGTGTTGGTGTTTAGTCACTATTACGTATTTTGTTGTACCAAACTTGCTCAACAGAAATCTTATTTTTTAATTCTCAGCACATTATTTTTATGGTTGGTAAATGAATAAAGGATTTTGTCTAAGTGTCTTTACTGATATTTAGTAATAACGTCCTCAACTTGTCTCAGCCTTGTAATCCCTCTGATTGGTCCGTCTTCGGAATGAATGTAAATTTATCATATGTGTGCATATTTAATATAATTATCAGTATTTGAATATGTATTCCAACTTTGAAAAGACATTTTGTAGACAGCATGAACTTAACTGGGTTTTGAATTCTTGCTGTTTTTCACGCTTTCTGAGTAACAGGTTTGGTTTGGAAGATTTTCTACTTTGGTTATAGTGGTTTGATGTTAAGAACACTGTAGGAGAATGAATCACACAAAATTTGGCCTTTAATTTTGTTTTCAATTGATGAAAATGGTGTCCTTGCATTTTTTTAATAGATCTCAGAAATGACAGAAGAAATTAAAATCATCACATCAGAGAGAGATCAGCTTGCTGAGGAGAAATTGGAAAGTAATAGCTGTAGAGAAAGTGATCAGCTTCAGGTGCAAAAGGAACAAATCATTTTCCTTACACAAGAGAACCGTTCATTGCAGGAGAAGCTGGACAGCTTATTTTTGAAAAAAGAGGAGTTTGGAGAAGGAACTTTGGTAATTATGCTAAAGCTGTAATGGGAAGCTTGCCTATTTAAACTTTCACTTGAGTGAAATAATTGCAAAAGACACTCCAGAAAAGCTGTTTTACTTGACTGCAGACCATTAAACAGCAGATTCATTGTTTATTTGAGCATATATAGATCTGTATATATGTGTGTATATATAGATATATATACACACATATATACTATGTGTATGTATATGTGTGTATATATATGTGTGTGTGTATGTATGTGTATATATATATATGTATATATAGACATTTGGTGCCAGAATGTACAAATGTGTTTTTCTGTAAGTAAAATATTGATATAGGATGGTGATGATCTGCATGGATGTGGTTCTTATAACCAAGTAAGCTGAAGCTAAAAGTTGCTCATCTGGAAATGATAATTTTGCTTTTTTAAAGTATATGTAGAACTGAGAGACATCACAATCAACACTTTGTATAACTTCATGTGCTGATTTGACCTCTCTGTGTGGGTGTGTATATATATAGATAGATATAGATGAGCTCTTCAAAAGAAAAGTAATGTATGTGCATTTATTCTAATATTGAAGGGGTAGCGGACAAACTTTAAGTAAATAATTCATATTCAGGCCTACCTAGCATTATGTACTGCTGAGACTAGAAATACAGATAAAGTCTTAAGATTTGAGACGGGAGAGATTTGTTGTTGGGCTTTTTTGTTTTGCTATATTCCCCTCTGTGATTAAACTATGGCAGTGAAATTCTACTTCTGATGACTTTAAGAAGTTCTTCAAGTTTTATTTTTACATGTTTCTTATTGCAAGAAACTTAAATTGAATATGAGGTTTGGTCAAATTTTGATATACTAAAAAAGTAAAATCCTCTCTAAAGTAGTGTTGCTGTCTGTTGTACATAATCAATCTGCCAAAGGTGTCAGATAAGTTTTCCCTAAAGCTACTTCCTGAATGTGTTTACTTTACTCTCCTACAAAACAGATATCACCAATGCAAGGACAATCTATGGAGCAAGAGTTAATTCTTCTGAGAGAAGAGCTGAGCCATGCACAAAGGAAATTGCGTGAAATGGAGGAAGCAAAGGCCAGTGAATATCAAGGAGAATCTGAAGAAATGGAGAGAACAAATGTTATTCCAAAACCACACGACTCCCAGGAAGTCAGCACCCAGACAGAAAGAGATGATGATGAATTTAAAATGCAACTGGAAAATCTCCAGAATGAGAGGGAGCAGCTGAGGGAAACTCTACAGGAGACAATTAACAAGGTAATAAAAGTAGTCCCCTTCCTGTAGGAGAAGAGCTTCAGTAGATTTCAGCAGATAATCTGTCTTAGATTTGGAAGTGTTGTTCAGGCGTTAATGTACTTTAATTGTGTCCAAAGAACTCGGAGATACAGGAAGAGTTGAGATGTACTCGTGAATCTCTTGGACAACATCAGGAGACAATTGCAGAGCTGAAGGGCAGTATTTCAGAGAAAGAAAATCAGCTCTCGAGGGCACAAGAGGCGTTGGAGGAAAAAACTGATGAACTGCAGCAGAAGGTGAGAAGCAGTTTTGTCCAGAAAACCAGAAGCTCTGTTGGCTTTGGCAGCCCGTGTCTTCTGCAAACCTCAGTTTGCAGGGGCTCCAGTAGATGTAATAAAGAAACTGAATATTTATAACTAAATAAGTCTTGGTGCTGAATGACCGAGTATTTTTTGGAAGCAACAATGCACTTTGACTTCTGTCCATTTGCCGAGTCCTAGATTTCTTTCTATTCCAATAATGTAAATTAGCTAGGTAATTCTGAAGATCCTCGAGCACTTTTAGGACACCTTAACTCATTCTTGGATTTATTACACTATTATAAATTTGTTCTCTACATTTATTTTCATGTCTAAAGCCAGTGTGGCTTGTAGGCTTCACTTTAGCATATAGTAACATCTCCTGTCTACTGTGGATACAGCAATTGGGGCATTTTTATGGATTTAGAATGTCTTGCAACTTTTTCCACATTTACTTTTGCCTACTGCTAAGACACAAGCACTGATATTTGATTGGCTTTTAAACAAAATTGCTGTATCTTTTTTGCTTACTATAGCAAACAAGGAAATCCTTGAGGATGTCTTCTTAAAACAGTCCATTTATAACAAGCCATATGTACACACAGTGCTTCTGAGTGATGATCCAATAACATTCTTCAGTCCAAATCTCATTGCTGGGATAAGAAAATTTAGAAACTTGACTGTTACTACAATTGTTTTTTCTCCCAAGTACCAAATTATTTTTGCCCATGCAAGAGTTGATTATTAATACCAGTACTGTTTGGGATTTGTTCTTTCCAGCTCACTGAAGTCACTGCAAACCTGACTCGTGTCTCAGCTGAGTATGGCAACCTCATGGCAGAAAAGGAGCAAACTGAAAGGGCAATGAATGAGCAAGTGTGTCAGCAGCTTGAGAGAATCACTTTACTTAACCAGGAGAGAGATGAGCTACAGCAAATGGTAGAGACTTGTAAAGAAAGGGAAGAACATTTGTTAAAGGTTCAGAGGCAGTCAGAGATCTTGAAGGACAGCCTAACAAGCAAGGTGAGTAGTGTTGGTGTTTAGTCACTATTATGTATTCCGACGTTTTGTCACTGATGTACTGAACTTGCTCAACAGAAATCCTATTTAATTTTTAATTTTGCCTACTACTAAGACAGAAGCACTGACATTTGATTGGCTTTTAAACAAAATTGGTTTTTTTGCTTGCTGTAGCAGGAAATCATTGAGGATGTCCACTTAAAACAATCCATTTATAACAAGCCATATGTACCCACAGTGCTTCTGAGTGATGATCCAATAACATTCTTCAGTCCAAACCTCATTGCTGGGATAAGAAAATTTAGGAACTTTTACTGTTATTTTGATTGTCTTTCCTCCCTAGTACCAAATTATTTTTGCCCATGCAAGAGTTGTGTCTTAGTTTAGGGCAAATTAGGGAGGAAAACTCCAAATGGGGGTTTTCCAGGGAAATGACCACTCCCCACCAACTGATCCTAGAAAGAAAAAAAATTCCTTGGAGAGAAGTGGAAAAAGCTGTTTATTTAACAGAAATTGAATAATATTAAATAATAAAACCTCTCACTGTTTGATGTGATGGCAAATCTAGGAAGAAAAGTCCTTTTCAGGTGGTGTAGCTCGGCTCGCTCAGGTTTTTATCAGTCTTTTCGGCGCTGGAAAGGACCGAGGCCCAGGCCCCGGTGGGCCACAGGCATGACCTCCCGGGGTTTGGCTGGGTGTTCAGTCCAGAGCAGGTTTGCACAGATCCAAGAGAAAAGGGAAAAAACAAAGGTCTGGGGAGCTCCTCTGCCTCAGCTAGCTAAAGCTAACTAAAAACCAGCGAGAAGCTCTGTCCTGCTGTCTGTCCGTGCTGCAGACAGCACAGTCCAGGAGTGGGATGTGTGGGAGTGTTTTTCCTTAACACAAACTGTGTGCTTCTTTTTCCCCCCACTCTCGCTCTCAGAGCCAGTCTTAAAGGGGCAGAACTTAATATATAACATAAACTAGATGATTGGGGATACCAGTATCATAAAGTCACCTCAGGACAAGTTGATTATAAATACCAATATTGTTTGGGATTTGTTCTTTCCAGCTCACTGAAGTCACTGCAAACCTGACTCGTGTCTCAGCTGAGTATGGCAACCTCATGGCAGAAAAGGAGCAAACTGAAAGGGCAATGAATGAGCAAGTGTGTCAGCAGCTTGAGAGAATCACTTTACTTAACCAGGAGAGAGATGAGCTACAGCAAATGGTAGAGACTTGTAAAGAAAGGGAAGAACATTTGTTAAAGGTTCAGAGGCAGTCAGAGATTTTGGAGCACAGTCTAACAAGCAAGGTGAGGAGTTTTGGTGTTTATTCAGTGTTTTGTATTTTGATGTTTTATTACTGATATGCTTAACATTTGCTCAAACTATTTAATTTTTAATTCTCAGCACATTATTTTTATGGTTGGTAAATGAACATAGGCAAAGGGTTTTGTCTAAGTTTCTTTAGTGATGTTTAGTAATAACATTGTCTACTGGTCTCAGCTCTGTAACCTATTGGATTAGTCAAGCTTTGGAATGAATGTAAATTTATTATATGTGTGCATGTTTAATAGAATAATCAGTACTTGAACACGTATTCCAGCTTCTTAAAAGGCATTGTGTAGACATGAACTTAACTGGGTTCTGAATCCTTGGTGCTTTGCACACTTCCTGAATACCAGACAATGTCTGAAAGTCTTGGACTTAGTTCTTGCCAACTCATTCTTTTCGTAGTGTTTGCTTTTAGGCCTTTCACCTTTCAAACTCTTCTGTTGTAAATCAATGAGTATAATTGCGGATTGCTTCAGTTTAGCAAATATTACTCTTCAGTAAAGATATTGCCCATTTTTATGCTCATCTTCTATTTATTTTAATTTTCTTTTGATATAGACTTAGGTTGATTGACTTTTCCTCTGATTCATCTTGCTTATGGAAGACCAAAGTTGACTGATGAGGGCTTTTTTTGGGTGTCATGCTATTCCTCTTCCTTGTAAATTTTTTTCTATGTTATTAAAATGCCAATTTTTTTTTTTAACTTTTCTTTCTGCTAGAGTCAATTATAGTAATTAAGAATTGTGATTTTTGTATTTGACTCAACTGATATGACTACTTCATAGGGTGTATCAAGACCATGACCATCAAATTGTGATTTGTGTTTTTCTCCACTCTTCATTGTAGATTCAAAAGTTAACTGAGACACTAAATAGCGTATCATGTGAGAAGGACCAGTTATTAGCTGAAAGAGCTAGTCACTCTTTACAACTTAAAGAACAAATCTCATCAGTTAATCAAGAAAAAGATGAGCTACAAAAACTTCTTCAGGGTGTCAGGTCTGAGCGGGACCAGCTCAAGACAGAATTGCAAAGAAATTCTGAGATGGTGAGTGTTGCAATTTGCATACCTGAGTTACTCATAACTTCTCATCTTGAATGGTACTTAAATATGTGTGCTTTTATTTCAGTGTGTTGAAACAAAGGCAAAACTAGAAGATGCTTTAGAACAACTGAAGCAGAGAAAAGACTTAAATAATATGTCCATTCAGGCACACCCAGTGGATATTGCAGAGCAGGTGGCTGATGACAGCTTGAAAGAAAAAATCTTGAAAATTAAGGTAAGCTTATTTTTTTGCTTGTTTTAAGGATGTACGTAGGAACTTAATGACACTTGTCATGGAGCATATGCCTCTGTTCATTATGTATAAAATGGTTTGCGTATCCTGCTAAGATGCTGCATACCATGGGCTCAGTTGATTTGCTGTTTTTCAGTGATTGCACATCTCATGCAAACCGAGAAGTTCAGTTTAATGTTCACAGAACATCTCACCTGCTTTCATTACCATCCACCCCAATTAAAATAACTAGTCATGGAGAATCACAGAATCATTTAGGTTGGAAAAGACCTCTTAGATTATAGATTTCAACCCTTAAACCAGTACTGCTATGGTCACTACTAAACCATGTCCCTAAGTGCTGGATGTAAACATCTTTGAAGTAGCTCCAGGGATAGTGATTGCACCACTTCCCTGGGCAGCTTGTTCCAGTACTTGACAGCCTTTTCAACTGAGAAATTTTTCCTAATAACCAGTCTAAATCTCTCCCAGTGCAACTTATCACATGTTACTGGAGAGAAGAGGCCAGCCCCCACCCTCCTTTCAGGCAGTTCCAGAGCAGTAAGGTCTTCCTGTGGTCCAGGAAAACACCAGGCCAAACACCCCCCACTCCCTCACCAACACCTCACAGGACTTGTGCTCCAAACCCTTCCCCTGCACCATTGTCCTTCTCTGGACGTTTCCCAGCACCGCAATGTTCTTCTCGTAGTGAGGTGTGGCCTTGCTTGTGCTGATCCCTTTCCTAGGCCTGCTGGCCACACTATTCCTGCCACAGCCAGGATGCCATTGGCCTTCTTGGCCCTTGGGGCACACACTTGCTGATGTTCTGCTAGCTGTTGACCAGCACACTGGGAAGTTTCCCAGACACTTTCCCCCAGCCTGTAGCATTTCAGTGGGGAGTGTTGTGACCTGGCAGTTCCCCTTGTTGAACATCAAACAGAAGCACTTTGCCACTTTGGTTTTGTTAAATCCCTGCGAATTCTCCCTTCCAGTATTCCCCATCAAATACTAAATTGGTATTAGTTTCATTGAAGCGCTTCTGCCCTCAAACTAGGAATTCCTCAGACCTTTTGTTAGTTAGCTATCCTGAGTGTATTTTCACACAGACATGAGAAGTGCTACTAACCTACTGAAAGCCAAAATAAACCACGATTTATGACTGTGTATTGTTGCATATAAGTAAAGCCTTATATAATAAGGGCCTTATTACCCGTGTAAAATCATGGCTCAGGCCTGCTGCTTCAGCTAAGTAGAAGGGAACTATGAGAGAACAGTTCAGCTGGAATAGGGCTAGAGAGATGTGAGAGACATGGTGTGTAACTGCTGCATGTCCACATCCTGGTGTATGCTGGTTGGTTGATTTGGGTTTGTTGTGCCTTAAAAGTGTGTAAACTGATAACTGGCTAACTGCTTAGAAAGGCCTGCTTTTTGCAAGAAAGGGCTCTCCTTCACATTGACTGGGCACTCTGTTGTTACATCTGGCACCCAAGTAACAAGAAATAAAATTACAATGAAAAAGTAAACTACAACCAACAACAAAGCCTTGCAAACCCGAAATACCAAATTACAATGAAGAAATAAATTACAACTCAACAAAACAAACACAACCCTCAAGCTACAAAGTGCAGAGCTCAAACCCTACAACATAGAACTTCCTTTACGAACCACAATCCAACGGAAAACAAAATTACCAGCACAACTGATAAAGTTGAAGCATAATGAAGGAGGTTAACATCAGCCGATCCCTTTTAAGAGCACTCTCCCCTTCTGACATCTGTAACAGATAGGATCTTGTCTGCTTCTTCACAATGTTCCAGTGTTTTCACTGTGAGGCAAAGAGTTAAGAAAACTGGTGAATCTTAGTTCTTTCAACTAAGAACCAAACATGGAGAGAGTATGTCAGGGGGGTTTTATACTTATTTTAAAATGTATAACATAAACATAATTAAACATGATACTGGAGTTGGAGTTAACTGGGTCTTCAAGCCTGTAGCACTACTGAGCCTCACTGCTTGTTCAACCTTTCTTTTCATGGCAGAGTGCTAGGACCCACTTCATGAGCCCTTTTCCTTCAAGAAAGGAGAAGCAGATAAAATTTGGAGTCCATCCTGAGGGAAGGCTAGCTGGCAAACTTGTGTTTGCCAATTAACAGCCACTATTTTTTTTTCATGCCTGTTTTACAAGTCTTGATGTGACCAGGCAATCTAAACCACAAACACAACTGGAGCTTGTGAAATGACTTGCTGGAAAACTAAGAAATTATCTGGGTTTGTGCCTGGATTAGTGATTTTGTCATATCCCTGTGGCAACTCAAAACTGAAGTCTTAATCATAATAACTTTTTCTGTTGTAAAACCACACTGTACTAGGGGTTAGTCCTGGAGTAAGGTAATTTATTTTACATTTCTGTTTATAGCTAATCACGCTTTTCCTTATTGTGAACAAATTAATTTGTTTCACTTGCATTTAGGAGCTTCTTGAGAAATTCCTAAATGTGGGGAAGAGATACGAATGTCTCTCTACAGTGTCTCTTAAGCTAAAGAGTGAACTGAAGAGTCAGAAAGCACTGATAGCTGTGATACTGCCTCAGCTTACATTGGAGCAGAGTAAACAAGTCAAAACTCTTCAAACTAAAAATGAGGAAATGAACAGTCATCTCCAGAAGTTATTGACCAAATTGAAGGTACCAACTTAAAATGCTGAATATGTGGATGCTTCATGTATATAAATGCTTGGATTTGGGTTTTGGGTTTTTTTAAATAAGCTCTCAATGGTAACAGTGAGGATTTAAAATATACTCTAGCTTTGGCTTTTGAGAATCCATACATTGGAGAAAATAAGTTGATAGTAATTGCTTTGCAATCTTAGAAAACTGGAACTACTTTTTTTTTGTAAATCAAACTTTGTTTTTAACTGTAGTTCAGCTACTTTGCACAGAATTATTTCATTATTATTATTCTATTTTAATTGGAAAATGCAATTTTCTTTCTTTAGTCTATAAATCAAATAATAGATGACTAAGTATGTATTCCTCTGTCAAGGAAGGAGACATGCAAGATGAATTGGATATGTTTGCTTACTCTGCAAAACTACCCAAGTAGTTCAATGATTTTACAGCCTTGCAGATTTTCCCCAGTTTGAAATCAGTTTCCCCATTGGACTAAAATTTTCAGCAAAAAGGTTAAGGGTAGTTGGGAAAGAATTCCTGTTAACATATGCAGAAGTACAGTAAATGATAAAGTTTCTTGCTTTTCTTTATTTACCATGAAATATTAAGGGCTGAGGGTTTTTTGATTGGAGCATAGAAACATGCACAGGCTTGGAGAGAGGGTGTGAGGTTCTTGAGAGTCAGTCACGTCCATAAATATCCATTAACATGGAATTTGAACTAATACTCCAAAGAGCCTCATTTTATAATTTAACTCAGCTATTTTAGGTTTATTAATTTTTTCCATAGGTGGCTTTTAACTTTGATGGTTAAATTTAAGATTCAACTAGCAAGCTCAGCTAGAATAAAGTTTTAAATCAGCATGGTGATTTTATTCTCATAGATCATCTGTACCTCTCACAGCTCCAAGAGAAAATAATTATAAGCAAGAACACTTTGCTTTGTTTTTCAAAGTTTAGATTTGTGGAAGGCTGTCTAGAGCCTTTTAGAGTTCTTGGCTTTTTGTGGAGTCTACAAGAAATAGCATCCTGGAAAAGTGCTGTCTCAGCTAAAAGGCTTAAATGCCATTACTGTAATGCACATGTGAACCTGATTTTCTTAGTCAAGGGTTAACTATAGTGGACATTTAGAGGCTCAGAGAGTAAACAGATTTAATTATAAAATACTGTATTTTAGCTGGATGCAGGGTACGGCTTTAAAAAAGGCTTACTGACACATCCTGTGCTTCTGCAATAGCTTCTGTTTAGTTCTGTTTGCACAAAGAAAAGAGAATATCACTCTACTGTTCACAAGTATGAAACGGAATTGCTTGAGGAAAAAAGAAAACAAAATCACCTACAATCCCAGATTCAACGTCTCAGGAAGATTGATTTGAAGCAGAATGAAGTATCATCTCAAGAGTTAAACAGCAGTGAAGGGCTGCAGAGTTTCCATTTACATGAAGAGGTAATATTTGGGAACAAAAATAGACATAAAGATCTATTCCAAGGCATAGAGTCATGTGGTGGTGGGAATCTACTGGCATTGGGTTTATCTGTTAAAACTTCACTTAAAGGAGGTGAAGGAGTAGAGTTATTTTGTTATGCTACTAGTTCTGTAATAAGAGGATTTTGCTTTGTAAAGCAGCTGAAAATAAAATTAATAGGTTAGAAAACAGTGGGAATGTTACTTACTTATTTGCCCTCTACAATACATACTATCCAATACCAAGATTGTTCTAAAACAATGAAATAAACTTTTGCTAATAAGCACTTTGTTTTCCCTCTTTCCACCTGCCCCAAGAATGTAGATTGTCTTCTTGCTTTCCCAATAGGGTGTAATTTTAAGTCTAGCAAAACTCCTTTTATATGATAATTAGATGCTAAAACAGACTTACTGCTGTACTGATAGCTGAGAGGACAGAAGGTATATTTAGACATGTGATAATCAAACCAGTATTTAAATTTTAATTCCTTTTTTTTTTTTTTAAGAGCATTCTCAAAGATGTATCAGAAATGGAACATGAACTTCTCTGCATAGAAGCAGAGTTACAGAACGAAGAAAGTGCTAGAAAAGAAACAATACAGTTCTGGGAAGCTTGTTCAGGAACTCACTGGGATGCAGAGGAACTGAAAGAAGAACTAAAGAAAGATAATGAAAGGCTCATGCAAGTCCTTAAATTCTGGACTCCGAAAGTAAAGGTAAAATTAAATGTTATAGAATCAGAAATGTATTTTGTGTAAGCAGTCTGCAAATGCCTATGATGGAAAACAAAAGACAAAAAAGGCTCTTAAATGATCATTCATTTATTATCAGCACTTACTCATACTTTAGCTGTCAGACATAGGGATACTTAAAAGACTTTTAAAGATTCCACATGCATCCAAACTTGGAAACTTGCTTTCTAAAAGATTTTCCAGGTAATAAATGAGAGCGGGTGTGGGGTTGTTGATTTGGGGTTTTATTAGTCTGAATTCTGGAAAATGTTATTTTTCTTGCCCAACTTTATCAAAGCTACTACAGTCATTTGTAACTCTCAGTTAAATTTATATTTACACTCATTTCTTTCTCATGCTGACTTCTTGCCTCTTTTGGAAACCTGGACAGCATTTTTCAGGGTTTAGTGCTTCATGAACAGGATTTCACGAGATTTCACCTTGCTGATTAAATCTGAAGTTTAGCTTACTTTGAATAGTTTCTTTTGTAGTGTCAATAGTGAGTCTTGACTTCTTTGGGATTTTGCAGTGTTGGCAAGGTTTTTGGAAGAATTTCCTGACCCTAATAATATGTGGATCAAAGCTTTTAACAAACAAACAAAAATCTAGTAAACATTGTCATTTCCTGACAATTGTTAAGTTTTGATTTATCTGACATGTTAAATATTTGAGCTTCTAGAATAGTCCAATATGTAGGTTTAATTTCCTTTAGTCAGTGAATACATTCTAGTAAAAAAAAAATCTGTGAATAATTACGGTTTTCTGTGGCTGACATTCAGAAAGTCTTTCCAATGTAATTCCTTTGTTTCTCTAATATGAGAGTTTGAGTTAATGCAGAAATACTGGTAAGCATGCAATAGGCTATCATCTCTTGTGCCCCTTCCTGCCTCCCTCTCTTCTGGAAATGTTCTTCTGAGTGATAATGGTACTATTTCTGACAGTAAGCATTTTCAAATGGAGCATTGAAACAACAATGTGAAAATAATACAGGCTAATGTACTTCCTGTGTCTTCGCTTGCCGTATTTCTAGCAGATTAAAAAATTATTTTAAATTATTCTGTATGATGCTGCTGATTTTCAGATACTCCTTGAACTTTCTTCAGAGCTGGATGACAGAACTGCTAATTATAGTAAAAATGCTGATGTTGAATTAAAACAGAGAAAAGAGAAAAATGAAGAGTTGCTTCAGGACCTAAACACTCTAAAAGAAAAACTGGCCTCTGGTGGCTCTGCCAGTCTGGCGTTACAAGAAGAAAATTATAGGCTTCATAATAAATTAAAGGCTGCAGAACAAGATAAAAAGGTACCAATACATGTTTCTAAGGCAAACTTCTTTGATGCTTGCTTTCTAAAGGAGAGTACTCCAAACTGAAAATAAGAATTGGTGGCAACTGTAAGTCTATGCCACCACAATACTAATAGAGTACACTTTATCTTAGTAGCTCTTTTATTTCCAAAGTGGAATTTTGAGCTTTTGCCGGTAACATGATTATTTTAATTGCCTGATTTCTGCACACAAAGAGATGTTTAGTTTAGAAATTCCCATGAAATGTTTTTATTTGCTTTTGAAGTATTGATTTTAATAGGGTGATACTCTTGATGCTTCCTGTAAGTCCATGGTATTCAGTATGTCAGACATGAAGCTCGAAAAGAATTCTCTATTCACAGGAATTGAGAACTTATTTTCTCTCTTCGATTTTTTATGTCACAGTTACCATTCTCCAAAGCACTTTTTCTTTTCTTAGACTTGAGTGTTCTAGAATATTAAAAGATGACACAAAACAGTGAGCTGGACATGAAGAGTTACCATAGAGCCTGTAGTGTTGGATTTTTTTTTGGTGTGGTTTGGGTTTTTGCTAGTTCATGCTAAAAATATGACCATATGCTGTTACTGTTACTACCTTTTGACATAACTGCACATAACTGATTGATTTATATATCTCAGGCTATGGAAGTAAAAATTCAGAAGTTGGAAAATGTAATAAATGAAGTAGGAGAAAGTGTCAAAGAAAAAGACAAGATAAACAAGTTACAAGCACAGATCAGAGTAAGAACAGAGACAAGTGAGCTCACCCAACTTCAAGCCAAACTGAATGAGATGGATAATTGCCTTAGGACTGCCTTAACAGAGAAGCAGAGTCTTCAGGTAAGAGCAAAATACTTCACTCTTCTCTTTCTCCTCTAATGAAAGACACAAGGAATCCTTGACAACAGTTGTAGGTGAAAAGCAGCTCTCTATAGTCAATGTATTTGTTCTGTATGGCATTCCTAGAGTAAAACACTCCATTTGACTATTTTGCAGGCAATTTCACATTCTACCACTGCAACCTTCAGTGGAAACATTTAGACCCCATATTTAGAAAGGAAATGTTTCACTTGTATGTGATGCATTTCTGAAACATTTTAAAACCTTTACACCGAAGCATGAACTATTTACTCAATGTGATATGTTTGCACCAGATTTATATCTTCACAGAAGTCAGCAAAACTTGCTAAAATATGGTTGCATGTCATACACCAGAGTAGGATACCAACTGCTACTGTAGTGCTAGTTGGTAATGTGAGCCACCTAGTGAAAAATAATTTTCTGCTCCTGGTCTTGTCCCGCAAAATCTAGCAGATCATAGTAAAGATACAAGGTAAACAACCCTTCATTTCATTGCTAAGTAAAAAGCCCTTACTTGTACTAAATATTTTCTTTTCAGGCAAAATTAGATAAAGGTGCTGAGCTGCACAAAGAAGAAATTGACCATCTCAAAACACAATTGGTAAAGTGTAATCTGGAAAGAATGAAACAAACCAACTCCTTTGAAGTGAAGTAAGTTCAAATTTTATCTTCTTACAGTTCTCAACTACTTCATTCTTAGCTTCTACTTCTGCCTTTAATTTTCTCACACAGTAAGAAGTAAGCATTCATCTTGAGGTGTTGTAAGTTTTTATGGTCGTTAGAGAAAGTAAAATCTATATCCACCTTGGGTTGCTTACAAAAATTCTTCCCTGTACACCCACCAAAATTTCTCAATTAACCATGTTCAGCCATAGATGAAATAAATGCTCTGATAAAAGCAGGAAAGGGGAAAGCAGTAACTGAAAGTACTCTCTACGTCACTAGAGAGAATACACCAAAAATAATTAGTCCAACTTTTGAGTGCACTTTACCTAAAATCTAACTGCCAACCAGGTTTATGTAGTTTTTCTTGTATAATGTGGGTGTGTCTTGTATTTGATAGCTATTTGGAATTAAACTGAAACAACTATTAAACTGGGGTTTTCTGGGTTTTTTTTCCCTCCTTTCCTGCCTCATATAGACTTGCTAATTATAAAGCCCTTGCAGAACACCGAGAAGAACAGTTAACAAAGCTAAAAGAGGAATTGAGAAGAGCACACCAAGAGCAAGATGTTACTGGTAAATTCAAGGTTAACATGAAAGAGTCCTTTCTATTTAACGTTGAGTTTTGAGGTTATATGGGTAGAGACCAGATTGAGATGCAGGCCCTGTACTCAAAGGGTATGAGGCTAATTGGGTGCGCTGGAAAATGAGATGGAAAGTAGATTCTATTAGCTGCATGTGGATGGCATTTAAAATCACAGTAGTTCTTGTGTTTTTCTCCAGCCACGTTTGCCCTTGTGGAGGGATAAAGCTGCAGTGGTGGTAGCTCATGTTGCCACTTTTCCCTTGACATCCGAATATTTAGTTCTCATCACAGCTATGACATGCCTGGAACAATAACTATTTTACCTCTAAATGGCCCAGTGAAGAATACGTCATGTTTCTTAATATCTCCCTGGCAGTGTGAATACTGGGAGGTGTATTTAGTGTAGAAAAAAGAGTAACTGTTATAATGGTACTTGTGACCCAGTGAGGTTTCACATGTTAGACCACAAGACCAAAGAATAGGCTAAAAAATTTATTGGCTTGATTTTAACCACTCTCCAGATAATGCACACACGTATGTGTAAATGTGTTTTCTAGTGCTGAAAGAAGCAGATCCTCAGCAATCCCAAATACCCTTTACTTGTGGTGGTGGCAGTGGTATTGTGCAGAGCACACAAATACTTGTTCTAAAATCTGAACAAGCTAAGCTACAGAAAGAGAACTTGCAGCTGAAGAAACAAAATGACCTTCTGCTGAGGTAAGTGGACAGCTGACTTAGCAACATGTCAAATCATTTGTTGTATTTATGTATATCATTAGTGTTTCTGGAAGACCTATGGAAGTAAGCATTTATTTTAGATTTCACATCATAAACTTGTATTTAAAGCTAGTTTTATGGCTTATAATGTCATAAAGGCCTTTTGAACTTTAAATTGCTTGCTTCCTTAAGAATCTTTTAAATGCTGGAAGATACACTTGAATTATGTGTTGGAAGGAATTTCAGCTTTAAAAAAAAATCCTCTGAGACCAAGATATACAGCTATTGTACTGCCATGTCTGTGATATGTCATCTGAAAGTACAGGAACTGTCTGTTCTTCAGGAATTTTTCCTTAAAGAAATTACTTTAAACTTTTCTTAATTGAATGCTGAGGTTCTTTTCTTTGTAGTGATGAACTTCAATTGAAAGAGGAACTCAGGAAATGGAAGGAAAGAGCACTAAAATGGAGAGAACGATCCTCAAGAGAAACTACTCGAGAGACAATACCCAAGTCTCCTAAGAAGGCAGTGTCATATTTCTTTAAAGAGCAAATGCCTTCACCCTCCAAAGAAACTGTTTCTCAGGAAATAGTAACTCAGGACATAGCAAAGCCACTGCCTCTGACTTGTCCAACAAATTTCTTTGATAATTCCAACTTGGGTGTGCTAACAGGTACGTAACACAGTGGTAGTGTCCTCTAAGATTTGAAGATGCAAAATGTAAGGGATGGCCTGAGATCTGAAACTTGCATGATAACAGTTTTCCCTAATGGTTTGTCATCTGTCTGTTGAAAAGCTGACCATCTGAGCTGTGAAGCTTCTTTCTGTATGCTCTACAGAACTGAAATACCGAAATGAATCCTTCACCCACTGAAGAATATACAAACTTTTTTCCCTTTTCTGCAGTGGAAGTGTTGAGTAAAAGTGAATCAACAAAATATTTTTGTTAGATAGCTGGTGCTCTAAAATGTCTTGCTTTTTAACTTTACCTTGGTTAAGCACGAATTTCTGGTAAAACTATATAAAATTAAGTGCTGGTTAACTTCTTTCTGAAGTTTTTCAAGATGGTAGACTTTAATCTTTGATGTTGCATCTGCTACTCTGCCTGGCTCCAGCTGCAATAATAACTGTTTTGATGATGATAACTTTTGTTCCTCAGATTCACTTCAGATTTCTTGTATCTGTCTTGCCGACTTTTAGTGACCTTTCTCCCCTCATGCTTCTCACAGCTTTCAGAAGGCCCCAGCAGACATGTTGAAGAGTAGCCAGTTTTTGAGGTATTACTAGCAGGCTTACAGAAAGAACATTGGCTCATTGATGGCCAGCTTGGTAATAGCACAGGTTCCTCACAACACAAAGCTCCTCAGAGGGAAGCTTTCATAGCTGACGTACAAAACACTAATCAAGATTAAATCACTGTATTCGTCCTGCTTGTCTAACTGAGGAAGGCTTTAATGTTTTTGTCTTCTTTACAGATACTCGACCTGCAGGCACAGAGTCTACAGAAGAACACCTTAAGCACTTGTTTGGGACTTCAGACAAAGATAAAGCCCCTGATTGCAGCACCCAGTAAAGATGCTCAGTCTTAAGCTGCCCTTACAGTGTCTATAGCCAGGATCTGCATATACAAAAGAAAATTGCTTCAGGTTAAAAACCATCAGCCTCTTCCATCTTTTCTATCTTGGAGTTTCTACTTCCCACAACTGGGAAAGCTGGAATATGAGGACAACAATGGAAAACCAGACGTTGCACCACAACCTGCTAATCTGCTGATGTTCTGCTTTGGTGTTTTGATGCGGATTTTTTTGATGGCAAAGAGAAATTACTGTATTGAAGAAAGAAATGGAAGAAGTAATGGATCACAAACTAATCTACTGTGAAACTTCTCAGTCTTAAACTTCTCATTCTGTCATTTCTAAACCGGCCCTTTTCTGGGGTGTTGATATTTGTATCTTCAGACTGCTGCTGACTTGGCAAGAAATATTCTTTTTGTTTCTTAGCATGTGGTTTTTATACAAAGCTTTCTTTAAGCCAGTAGAAACTGCATTTTCACCACAATCTTGACCTCTTTGGACACTGCAACCAAAGTTACTGATCTTCTGTTTGTAAAGCACACAATCAAGGGTTCCTCTTAAACTCCTTAGAAGTTTCTGCAGCTCAGCCAATTATGGTACCATGAGTAACTTTGAATTTTGCATCATTTTTCAAGATACTTGTCTGAGGTTTTTGCTTTTTTTTTAATAGTAAGCAATGGACTTAACACACTTCTTCTTCTCCAGTGAAGGGAAAACAAACCAGATCACTGGGGTAAGATGGACTCTTATTAGCTTACTTATCTGTATTGTGAGACCTACATTTTGTATGTTTTATATAAGAAGTTTTAACATGACAATAAAATTTACTATTTTAAATATGTGAAAATGGTTTTGCTGTTCACTTGTGCTATGATCCAAGGATGCCGATTACAACACTCAGTGTGTAAATGTTACCAAATTACTCTTTTATACTGATACTTTATATTTTATCACTTCCATCATTATTATTCTTGTCTCCATCCTCTATAACCTTCTGCGGCAATTACTTGTGCAGAAGTTTACTGTTGTCAGAGTTTTATTTAATTCTTTAGTCTGTCAGAAAATGGTTGAAAAAATCCAAACCATTCTAAAACATAGATCCTCCTCCCTTTCCTCCCCTCCATGCTCTCCACTGCCAACTAAATGGGAATTGGGCACTCAGAACCTGATGTCAACTCCATTAAGGATGGAATCATCATCATGAGATGAGAAGGTCATACCTAAGAAAGATCCCTGCTTCAAAAGTATCATTCTTATTTTATAGGAATAAATCTCTCAGTGATGCTAGGTCCTGTTTGGGACACTGTGGTGGTTTGACATTGACATTTGGGGAAAGAAGTAAGAAAACCCCACAGAAGTGATGTCTTTGAGAGAAGCTGCTGGGAGCTTCCTCTGTGCCTAGGACAGGCCAATAGCTGGATAGTTCTGAGAGCTGACATTTTGTACCATTTAGAAATTAGGTCTGCCTCTGTGAATTCCACCTTTTAAAAACCACAAGCCCAGGAACTCTCTCTCTCTCTGGTTCTGGCCTTGAAAGGTAGCAGAGCTCTGGTGGAGCTGGCCCTGCTCTCCTGCAGCCTGGGGGAGGCCAGGCTGGACCCCAGTGGCTCCCAGGTAGCGGTTGGGGACTGCAGAGCTCCGGTCCCAGGCTGGGCCAGGCCACGGCTGCTGACGTCTCACTGACACTAAATCACCCCCAGCCCACACCGAACAGCTCCAGGCTAAGGACTGCCTGCACCCCACCAGTGGCTGCTGGACAGAGGGAGGGGCCCATCGTGGCCTGAAATCCAACTTTGTGACTGCTGTGGCCACTGGGCAAGAATTAACCCTTTAACTACATAGATGAGGCCTGCAGACCTTGTTCCTCTCTCCAGGGAGAGAAAAGGACAGAGTGGCAACATGTAGAAAGACAACATGAAAATACCAAGGTCAGTAAAGACAGAGTCAAGCCTTAGGTGAAAGGAGGATGAGGGGTTGCTGAATGAGGCTGAAATATTCTTTTGGTAGGGCCATGGAGATGGACAATGATATACTGAAGTGTCTCCTTTAATTCGTGAGTATGGGGGGATGAAGTATTCAAACTGTAGATCTGAGCAGAGGCATCTACTGATGAAACCAAGCAGATGTTGGAGTAGCTGTGATCCCATAAGAAGCTTGAACAGAGAGAGAGAGAGATGAGATTGATGAAGACCCTTTGGCCCTAGACAGAGAAGAAAACTTCTGTTCCTAGAGATGATCACAGACACAGATGAAGAGAACCTTTGCCTTTGGATAACTCAAAATAATACCCCATGAGTTCATGGCCCATGGACACACCTCTAGGCGGGCTGTGACAATGGGAGGAATGTCATGATGTTCAACTTTTCCTGGGCAGCTGCTATTAGTGGAAATGAAAAGCCACAAGAAAACTTTCTTGTGGAGAAGCCTCCATGGCATGACAAGAGAAAACTACTCTCCCTATGAGGACTGATGAAAGACTATTGTATAGTTGGTACTGCTCTAACATCCCAGGTTTTGTCTCTGCATGGTCAGTTGGGAAAGGAAAAGGTTGGGCAGGGGAAGGAAAGGTGTTCTGGAGGTTTTATTTCGATGCTTCTTATTCTTGTAGTCCTGCTAATAAAATTCTTTATACCTTTTAAGTTTTAAGCCTGCTTTGCCCTTCCTCTAATCCGTATCTCATGGCAAGAAATGAGTAAGTGCACTGGTGATTTTAGCTAGTGCTAAAACCCACCACATTATTTGGTATGTTGGCCAGGAAACTCAAATTGGTGAATCTAAACCACTACAGTCACTCAAACTGACAACTGATATATTCCTGAGCATTCAGCAGTAACAGGAATTGGGGGAGTCATACAAGGGATTATCTGATGGAGGTACTTCTTTAATGAAGAACCAGCCTTCTATTTACTTCGAAGGGCTGAAAACTGCCAACTACTGTACCTACTAAGAAGTTCCAAGGATTTATCTCAATCTCTGGACTGGAATGTGTTTTGGGAAGCTTTTAAAAGCATGACAAGCCAAATAAATACCATTACAGAGTTGGGCAGTGCCATGTCTTCTTTCTGGCCACAGGTATTTGTTTTCTGACAGGGATGAATGCAAAGTGCTGGTGTGTTTGTGGTGGTTTTTTTGTTGGTGTTTTTTTAGGTTGGTTGGATGTTTTGTGGGTTTGTTTTGCGTTATTGTTTTTGTCTGGTTTGTTACTCTTTTTGTTTCCCACTGTGATGAAAGGAATTTCTTTTGTCTACCAGCATTTTGGTGTTCTAATAGATGAATTAGACTAACTTTTTTTCTTCCAGAAAGGGGAAGGAAGATGTGTGTATATAGATCTACTTCTTCCGTATACAATTCCCAGTGGGTTTTTTTGTTAATTATAGTTTGCTTGGAACTACTAGATTTGGTGATCTTTCTGGTAAATGAACTAAAGAAAGCAGAAAGTTATTGCAATAGGTCTATGGCTGAATTCAGGTGGCAAAAAGCTTAGGGGCAGATGGATAAATGCTTTTAGCAAATAAAGACATGAAAGATTTCATTTACTGGGGAGCTGATTTAGAAAGCCTTAAAAGCTGTAGTTGAGCAGAAAGACAGGATAAACTGAACTTTTGTGTATCTGTGTCCCAGTTTATCTGTAGAAGTGGCTTTTCTGAAAACAAACTAACTGAAGTTCAGGCAGGACACCAAATTCCTTAATACTATCAGGTAGTTTTTAGTCTGTTGTGAGCTTATAGCTAAATGTGTTTGTCCTAGAATTTTTCAGTCTAATGATACTAATTCTGCTTTAACATACGCAAGTTAAACCACTAGAAACAAAAGATATCAGTTTAACAACAAAAAAATTATCACATAAGTCCTGGTTTGGAATTTGATAGTTTATATTGCAAAAAGACATTGCTTGGAAAAACATGTTCGTGGCCTTTTGGTGAGAATCCTCCTGATACCTTGAATTTGCATTGTAAGAGAGTCAGCTAATGCTGGTGATACTTTTGTGTCCTTTCCAGTGCATGAGAAAAATCACACATTTTAAAAACCCTGAGTTTCACTAGATGGCAGCATCTCAATGTTTCAACAGGAAATTGCGTTCGTATAGAGAAACTTAGCAGTTGGACTACAAATCCCAACAAGCACAGTTAAAAAAAAGAAAACTAGAACTTCCTTTTGTACAAGGGTCGGTAAATAACAAAGCTGTTTGAGGTCTCTTGGTGAGTGACTATATTAATATTTGTTTGTAAATGCTTCATAGAATCAGTATGGCAAAATTTCATAAAACCTGATTGTTAGATTGAAAAATGTATTTATAATGCATTTTGCTTCCCATGTTCTAAAGTGATTTGGGGAAGTACTTGAACTGATCCAGGTGGCTTTTGGAAAGAAAATAATTTTCCATTACATTGCTTCAGAAGTTGAATCTGTAATTTGTTGAATTTGTAACCTTCAGGAAAACAGTTTTGCTGCAACTTTTGCCAGGAAAATCATCTAACAAAACAGAATTTCTGATCAAAATAAGAGAAATTAATAATTGATTCAAAAAGTAGGATACTGAATTTGAGTCAGTAATCTTGAGTCACAGCATGGGTTTGAGTATCTCTAGAGGATAACATTGGCTGCTAACAAAGGGAAGGTTATGGCACCTTTATTTTAATTTCCAAGTGAAGTACTTGGTGTGTTGGATTTATGTGTATATTTAAAGACTTTGTTCTTATGACACCTTTCTACACGCATATCTACACAGACAAAGTTGGTTGGAGGATTATGAAAATGCAGGGGGTTTGCTTATGGGGAACCCAATTAAAAAACTCCAGATACTACACTCTGGCACACAGTGACCTCACTTTTTAGGAAGTTCTTTGAGACTTGGCATTTGTTTTTACTTGTTTGTCTGCATTTTTGCATGCTGTATTTCATTAAACCTAACACAGCAGTTGAAGAGGGCTGTATTTTGCCTTTTGGCTGCTCCATCCAGACAAAGGTAGCAATGCCTAGAGGTTCCCTATTGCCCCAAGCACAGTCAGTGCCCGAAGAACAGGGACCAAGAGGCAAGATTGGCAGTTTCATTAACCCCCACACTTTTCCTGCTTCACTGGGGCTGGGAAGCTGCTGCACTGGAAGATTCCTAAGACAGCTGAGGGCAGATATCAAGGCTAGGGCATTGTGTAGAATGTATTGCAGTCTAGGACATGAAGAGTTGGTAGGGAAAAAAAGACAATCTGCTTTCTGAGAATACCATGAACAGTGGAAACACTAGTTTACAAATTATTGTACTGCTGTTTCATCTTGGCTTTTTGCCTGTTTAAGAAAAATAAAATCCAGTTTCTGTTATAATTAAGCTTAGCTTCTGAGCTCAAATGCCTTTTGACTTCTTGAGGTCCTTTATGTATAACTGGAAAAAAAAAAAGGAAAAAATAAGGTGGGGCAGCCCTGCCTCTCAGAACCCTGGATAACTGAGGGTCACATGGCAGCCAAACAGGACAATTGTGATGGCAGAGGTACACCCTGGATCAAGTCTAGTTTTGGGCATGTATTTGCATCTGATTCCCAGAGGTGGTCTTGGCTTATCTTTGTTAAATTTCTGTGCCATCCTGTGCCTGCACAGGTCAGTACCATGGGGCGTCTGGATGGGAAGATCATCCTGTTGTCTGCGGCAGCACAGGGCATTGGCCGAGCAGCTGCTATTGTAAGTTGTAAAATGTTTGTTCTGCTGTGCCTTAGCAAGGTCTCTCATTCTAGCTTGTCCAAAGACACCTGCACCAAACCAGTTCTTG